TGGTCCTCACTTCTTCACTAATCAAAGAGGTGCTTCAGCACTAGCCCTACCTAGAGACTAAGGAAGGAGCTACAGAGTATGATTTTCTTAGAAGGTCTGAAAAGCCCAGCTATTCCACACTTTCCCTGGTACTAACTCATCTAGCACTCACCTCCTCTCTTCACTCTTAGAACAGAAATGCCTCACAATGAAAATGGATCCATTCACCCAGTGGCACTGAGGGGTAAGATCCTGAACAATTCAATTAGTCCCACTGGGAAGAAGGGCCCTTGGAGGAAAGAATATGTATTTGGCATCCACGTGTGCGAGGCATCATGCTACGCTGTCTCACATGTATTTTTCTCATCTAGCACCATAACCCTGTTATATAGACTCCGCACAGCTGCGTCTCCCTCCACTGTGTCAGACCGCTTCAAAGGGAGGTGCTGAAGGAGACACAACTTTACGGAGGCATCTCCTAGACACTAGGTACTTTGTGAGCACCTTTACCTTTAACGTACTCCAGTTTCACTGAGGGAATAAGCAGGTCTGGGGCAGATGGGCAGTAGCTCGGACAGGTGTGAGACGTGAGATGGACAGACCCATGCACTGTACCCAAGCATGGGTCTCCGTGTAGCACGAAGAAGTAGGAGTCTCCAAGCGCTGCGACCTTAGAGGGCTGAATTAGGTCACCTGTGGGCGTGCAGTCTGTGTGTGCTTAAGGCAAAAAAGAATCAAATTAGGGAGATCCTTCAGAGTATCACAATTTTACTTAGGCCCCATGTTGACCTTAATCTTTCTATACAGAAAAAAGAAATGGACTAATCAATTAGATGTAAATTTCTGTGTTTCCAGGATAAAACATCTCTACAGTCAAATAAATACAATCATTTTCTCCAAAATTTAGTATTTAAAAAAGAACTTCACTTTGATACTTATTCTACTACGTACAACAGATTTTAAATACAAATCATCTGTCACTATAAAATGGAAAGAACCAAAATAACTTCGGTTGAAAATTAAGTCATTAATCAAACAGACTTAGTAACAAAATGGCCTCTCTGACTCCCGGCTGTATAAGGGCTTTATCACCCAGAGATTCCCAGAGGGAGCCTCAGCTGACCCGATGAACGCACCTTCAGAAAAGGCGGTTACTTCGCCGCGGGGGCCAAAATATGGGATTCCCCCCCCCCGCCCCGGTGTAAGCCAATTAATTACTTTTTAATTAAAATAACAACCATAACAATTGGCACTTCTGACTACAAAGCCCTATGGAAGACTTCTGTCCCATCTCTTGAACCAACTACATCATCGGGGAGGTGGCCCTGCGGGCCCTCCTCGGGGACCCAAGGTGCTCCTTGCGGACCTGCCGGGCCTTCCAGAGGGAGCCAGCCGCGGACTTGGGTGCCGCGCTGTGCCTGCTTCTCAAAAACCACCAAACGTTATGCTCCTTCAAAACAACAGCATAAAAGCAGCTTCCCTGAATCACAAATGGATCTCAAAAGTTCTATTTATAAATAACACAACGTGTAGTTTTCCCTCACAATTTCGGTCCTTTCTTCCAAAACTTGCATACAGCTCTTTTTAGTTCAGCCCAGTGTATTTTATTAAATACCATATTATGACTTCCCCCATTCGGGTCCCAGCTAAGCTTCTTGTGGAGGACAGGGAAGGAAAACCTAATTATTGCTGCTTCAGTGCACCTAAATTTATTTCGTTGCCAAAACCAACAGCGTCGGGGCTAGATGCTGCCACAGGAAGGCGCCGGATCTGGACTGAGAACTGCTTCCCTCTGCTCTCCCCCTCCCTCCCCACCCCTCCAAGTCTCGGGGTTGGAAATCATCTTAACGTGTTTCATCCTAACATTTTTTTAGCCAGGATGTACTAAAATTAGATGGGAACAAAGGCCTGACATTTTCGTGGTAGAGGAGGGGTTCGGGGGAAAACGTGGACTGGCAGCACCTAGTCCTCTGCGGTTCGCCTTCGCCTCCAGACCGGCCCCTCCCTCGGGGGAGCAAGGCTACAGCAGGGGCACTGCGCCCGTCCCAGCGGGGCTGCCGTTCCGTGTCATCGCTGATGACAGCAACTGCTTCCTCGGCAGGCCCGCCGGCGAAGAGCGGTAAACGCAGCTCAGGGTCTCCTTGTTCCACCAGACAGTTTCAGATCCAGGATATGCTAACTGCTGGTTCATGTGTACATTCTTAGGTATTTGGAAAAACAAATGCATTAGATTCGCTTTCCTCAAAAAGCTCTTGTTAGCATGCACAGTAAAGATCACTTACTAACATACTTATCATTTCCTGATGCAGTAATAAAAATACATATCTGAAAATGTAACATAGGAAAATTTATTGGTTCTTCAGGATGGGCCATGCAAAAATGAAAAAGTACATTTTGTTTTTTTCTGTCTTCCTCTAATAAACTAGGCCAGTAATTTGTAAACAGCTTAAGACACACTGATCTTTGGTTGCCTGTCTTTCTTATAATGGCATCAGCAAGACAGAAGTACATTCTTCCAGCCTCTACCTCTCAGTTTTTGAAGCTCTTCTCCATAAAAGCAGGATATGGATACATTCATGTCTTGGGGTTCATTCCTATCTTTTTAAATTGGTTTCCTCGGGCCTAAACTACAGGTCCACATAGTTACAGCTCAAAATTCAGTCTGAGAAGCCCTTTTAATGATTCATTCTAATGCACTGTGTTGTAAAGATTTTTAAAACTCAGTACATACCGATTCAAGCTCTCTTTTTTTTCTGGTTACTGGAGCCCATCTTGACATCTAAGCTGGAAATAAATGATCTTTCAACAACACTCCAGGGATTTTGCTAAGGTCATATTCAATCATTCATTAGGCTTCTTACCCCTCGCTTTTCAGAGTTCCATTGTAGAACTGGTTTTATTCAGCATTTATGTAGCCTGTGGGCCTGGGTATTTGTCTGCTTAATGTTGAGTTTCATTTCTATGCCCCTAACATAGGAATCCATTAATTGACCAAAGAATTTCAAACTATTCTTTTACTTTTCTAACAAATTGCATGGTGTGTATGAAGAATAAATTAGCATTAATTTTCTTGAATTAACTGTTCATAAAACGTGCTCATGTGCTCCCCCGTCTTCTGAGGACATCTCTGTCTCCTGCTTAACAGAGAGAAATGGTTTCCTAGCTTTTTCCCCCACTTGCACTTGTCCTTCAACCTATCACGCTCCTCGTCTCCCGCAACCAAGCTCTGGGTGACGGCAGCCTCCTCCCAGGGAAGTGCACTAGATAAGGCTCCTCCCGGGCCGTCCACAGCTCCGCACGCAGTCAGCGAGTGATGGCCGCTCGGGACGCAAGCCGCCCCCGCTCTCCAGCAGAAGGCTGTCTCCGGGGCACAGGCGCGCTGGTTGGCACACAGCGCCGGACACGACACGTCCAACCCAGGTCTCCCCCCACCCCAGAAGGCTGGCCTGGAGGGCAACTGATTTTTCACAAATTTTGTATTTTTTCACTGTAGTCTCCACATACAAACATGCACACACGAATATATAAAATAAAATTATTTAAGAGAACATGCATCAAAGTCTATTAACATAAGTAGGGATACTCTATTTCTTTACATATCAATTCAAGGAAAATTATTCCAGAGCCATATAAAACTTAATTACTATTATAGGTTCCTGAAAAATTAAGGTTTCCATTATGCTGTAGATGAATGGGAATTAATAAGGTCAACTTGCAGCGCTGCATGACAGTACCACAGAAATTTAAAGATAAGAAATACGCGAACTGAGACATGCTATTCCTATGAAGACTAAAAATCTTTTGTATATGTTTACCTCCCTCCTTCCCTGCAAAATAGAGAACTGCACGCATATCGCAGATGGAGAAGAAAGGGCAACTCGTTGTTACTACAATGGGGATTAAAAAATAATCATTCAAGGACAGTTTGAGCTCATTTTAAAATGGTTTGTCAAGCCGCCAAGAGCAGCAGCGTCAGGTTCGATTCTCGCATACGTACACGCTGGTCCCGAAAAACAACTCTAACTTGTGCACCTGGCTCAAAACAAAATGTTCTGAAAACTTTCTATTTGTTCATGGGTGTAGCGCGCCCATTCAGGCCTCAGGCCTCTTTGGACTTGCGCATGCACTTCCACACAGAAGTGGCCTGTTATGCAGTAATAACATCATAATGAAAAGCAACAATTCTGGGCAGGCTCCATAGAGAGCTCTCGTTTGCATTTCAAACAAGTTTCCCCAAAATAAGAGTGTCTTTTGATGAAATAAAATTACAATTCCAACTTCTTATGCTGAGAAAACAGCCCTCGCTACATCACTCACTGCTCCCTTTATAACCCCATCATTCCTCTCCCAGTTCGCCCCAGTCATATGACTGAACAAACCCCGAGTAACAATAATGTGCTTATGACTTGTTTCAGTAACTCGGTGACATTTACTGCCCTGGTTTTTAAAGCATGGTATTATTTGAAAGTACCAATTTATTGTCATATGTTTGGACCTTCCGTTTGTTCTGATTTCAACCTGAGACGCTGACTTCCAGAGGGACCAAACAACGACAAGAAGAGATGATAGCTCCCTTTCCTAACATTCTCAACAGATCCCCCCAAAAATCCTCCATCTCTGCCAGTGGAGCAAACACACCCCCACAACCGTGGCTCAAGGAGCCTTCAAACAAAGACCCAGTCCGAGCTATTAGTGAGGCAAGCCCACATCTCGTTCCGGTCACAGAGAAAGTCTACTTTGTTAGGCTGGTGCTTAAAAATAGCACGTATGCAACAGCTCAAAATTCTAAGAAAGTACTTTTATACTATTATCATATTCGAAATCAAGGAATAGTAATGTGAAAAAACAACAAAGGCCAGATCTCCTCAGTAAATTAAAAACTATTATGTTTCTAAGGTATAAGATCCCATTCTCATTTGTAAAATGAACACAATATTTTTAAGTTTAATAACATGTACTTTAACTGCTCACTTTTGAAATGTTAAAAATTAAAGCTTTTCAAAAAATGTTATTTGTATTTACAGTTTATGTAAATGTCTTCAGTTATCCTGTGCAAGGCAGATAGTAATCGTAATGGTTGATTAATGTTGCTCTAAATCAAACCACCCTCTCTGCCCCCAGTCTGAGGCAAAAAATAAAAAATTTTTTAAAAAGGATATAAGGCTAGATTTATCACTGGAGTTAACCTTTGCCCAACAAACAAAACTTCTCTTCCATTCTGTAACCCAACGGCCTAAAAGCTAAAAACCATCAAATACCACATCACTTTTTTTAAAAACCTCACTTGGTGACTCCAATATTAAAATATTAGACCAAATACAAAACAGCATTAAATACTAATATACCTTATCTTTTCAAAACTCTGAATAAGCCGTTTCTCTCACTGATTAGCCCCTGTGTCCCTCAAGGCTCACGCATATACGCTGTGTGATGCGGCGCACACCCGCCTCTCTCAGGAGCAGGATGCATTCGGTTCCTGATGAGGCCAGTCTTTTGAGACCAGTGCGGAGATGGTGAAAAGTAATCAAAGCTGACGCACAGCCTCAGTCCACAGGCCGCCTCTGTGCCAGTTGCTGCAGAGCTCCTAAAACTAACTGCCTAACCTCTCGAAGCACATTTTCTAAGGACCAGCCCCGCTTCCCCTGGTGAACCGCAGGTGCCGCAGGAGCAGAGCCCGAGCCCCGGGAGGCGGCACACGTCGACGGGGCAGCAGAGCCAGCGGCAGGGAGACCCCGCCTGCCTGCCTCCCGTCCCGGCGGGCGGACCTGCGCCAACAGGAGTCCGTACTCCCTGTCTGGAGACTCGCGGGAGGGTCACAGGATGGCACAGTGCTAGCGTGTGACAGCATCTCTCAGTGCCCTCCTTCCACTTCCTATTTATCCCTCACAGTGTGCAAAATACCGTCAGCCACAAAATACAAGCTCAGTTCATATTTCTAGTCAACTGAGATATTTACCTGATTTTTGTTTAACTGTATACACGAAGGCTAGAGGATTTTCTCAGATGTTAAATAATTTTTTAAAATAACCATCATTCAACCAAAAATAGGAGGCTTATTATGTTTCATAAATACTCTAACACTAGGAAAGCTGTTTTGCTCATTATTCTGGCCCTGGCATCGTTTGGTCAACTCTTAATAAAGAGTTATATTCCATTCAATTTTACCAAGGCACGAAAGTCAAGGATACATACTTTCTGAAAATTAATTTACTGCTTTAAAGTTTTTAAGTGTTCAGCAGGTACAGGAAGTTGTTTTTAATCAAAAAGAAAAATATTTACATTTCAAATACAAAAGGACATTTAAAATTATTCTTTGTTGACCTCTGAACCCAACCACTTACATGCTCATGTTTTCTTCTATCTCTTTAACATGTGCATCCCATGTACTTACTAAGCATTTGTTTGCACTTGCGTTTTCTGTCAGGTTTACTTTGATGAAGAGCTTCCTTAAAAAAAGCTAACTGAATCTGTCCAATCAAAAGTCTCAGGTTTTCTGGAAAACCAATGCTGTTACACTGCTTCCAGATCTGCCTCCAAAGCTGAACTTGGGTGTCGGTAACTCTTCAAAAAGTTCAAATCCTGCCAGACAAAATTCAAATACTCTTATTAGGAATTAAATGTCACAGTTTAACAATATACTTTCAAATCCTTTATAAAACTATGAGATCACAAACTCTGAATTCTGGCTGCACTTCATGTCATGATCTTTCATTTCTACTGTATATGTATATAATGTGCGTGTACACCCCCACAACACTTTGAATTGAACATGAAACCCAAAAGACCAAATCGCAGAAAAAGGGCTGCTTCTTACCCATCCCCCACTTCCTCCACTTCCCATTTATCATCCCTTCCACTCTGCACCTCCTCCAGCCTGTTTCAACTGCTGTAGGGGGCAGCTACCACGTGCTGAGTTCTTGCCGTGTATCGGGCCCGGCTCTGAGTGCTGTATATGCAGTAACGCCATTTGCTCTGCATCACACGAACAAAAAACCTAACACAGAAGGGTTCGATAGCGTGGAGACAAAAATGAATCGGTAAGATGAAAAGGTCCTGGAGGTGGACAGTGGTGGTGGCTGCACAGCAATGTCTGTGTCCTTGGGGCCACTGAACTGGACCCTTGGTTAAACGGTGAATCTTATGTTATATATACAGGGGTCGGCAAAAGTAGGTTTACAGTTTGAGAGTACACAAGACACAGTGTTTATTTTTCTATTATTATTTCTTAATTACTGTATTATTATTATTAACCTAATTTTGCGCACCTCTGTATTTTACCACAATGAGAAAAAAGTTTGTAACCTAAGATCAAGACCCAAACTCAACTAATGAAGGGTCTGCCAAGGAACTAGTAACTTTCAAAGCAGCACAGTGTTGTTTTTTCTTAAAAAAAAAAAAAAAAAAAAAAAAAGTAACTGCTATTCCAAAACCCTGGGTTCAAGTTCCGGCTCAACCACTTATTAGGTCAAAGAGAAGCTGGTCCAATTACCTTAACCAGGATCCTCAGTTTCTATGCAAAGTGGTTAAAGACACGAATGCCCCTATCTAACTCACAGTGATTTTGTAAATGTCAAAATAAGGTAACGTGGTATTTTCCTAAACTATAAAATAAAATGGAAATTAACACAGAAAAAATGTTAAAAGGGATACATATTATTGTATCAATTGGTCTTTTATAATTTGATTCACTATATATTCTAATCATATTCTTAAACTTCAGCAAGTTTTAATAAGTAACTATATACTAAAATGTTCATTAAAAACTGATCATAGAAAACTGCCAAAGAAGTAGAGACCCTTTAATAACATTATATATTTTAACACTATGGTGAATACATAGGTACACACCCATATTTATTTCTGAAATTTTACTTATGCTTAAAATATTTCGTAACAAAAATTTTCAAGAGAAAATGAAGCTTTGAATTTTCCAGGACTAATCTTTTAACTCCCTGGACTAACCTTACAGAATTGAGGTTACTGTATTTTGAATATACCGCAATATTAAAAGTGGCTCTACTCCAGAGATAGATGATGAATGATTTTGATTATTTTAATCTATATGCTTATGTGTCGGGGTTAATATTTTCCAATTTTTTTCATAATGAATCAAATTACTTTTGTAGCGACATACGTTTTGAGTTTGTTTTTGTTTCTTTTTTTTTTTAATTCAGTAGTTCTAAGACAAATTCCTTGGACATCAAATTAGAACATCCTAATATCTAGCAAATGTTTCAAGTGACCTTCACCAAAACAAATGAAAACACAAAATGTTTATATAAATTGGGCTCTAAAGGAAAAATGCAGGATTCATTTCAACAGTTTTTTGAACACTTCTGTTGCAAATAAAGAAAGAACCCTCAAGATTAGCGAAGCCAGCTTTTTTCTGTGCAAAAGGGACCATGGAAGCCAAGCTTAAGGAGCAAGTGACAAGACCCTCAGTAGTGAGGCGTGGTAGTGTGCTCTGTTAGTGGCCTTAGCTGACGTCAAAACCACCTTCTAAGAGACGCATGCCTACAAATGTCTTCACTTGTACGTCGTTATTTCTTCCCAAGCTCCTGTTGTAACATTTTGCTTATTTCAATTCCGTACTAAGCTCTAAAACTGAACATGAGTTAAAAAACTTAGTGGTTCTCAGAAACAGGCACGTTTTTAAGCTCTCTTCACCAGGCTCAAGTCTGTTCCTCATTATCAGAAACAGACAAATATGTTTTTGTCTGGTGGTTCCAGGGGTAAAAGAGAACACCTGTATTTAAAAACCAGGAAAGGACGTTGCTTTCCACAGCGTAACTCTGAGCATGTATTAAAACTGTCAAGCTTCAGGAAGAGGGGAAGGCTATTGATATGGGGCCTCAACAGTTCTAAAAGAAACAAATTTAACATGGAAGATAATAAAATCGACGACATGAAATAAGAGACAATAAATCACATGTAATTCCTGTGTTCCGGAGGCAACAGTAAGGAAGCCACAGGCTCACATTCCAAGCCTCAAACACACCAGCCTTTACGCTGCAGAGCTTGCCGAAGCCCCCACACGCACACAAAGGACGGCTGCTGGGTGCGCCGCCGCCGCATCCCTCGACACTGGGAACACAAGCTCTAAGGCACAGTGCACGCAGTTCGGTTACAAACTCACTTCCCAGCAGCTTCTGACGACTGAGGTTCAGAATTTAACCAGAGATCTAGTACCATGTCATTTGTTAATACTCCGTCCTGAAAATTCCTCCCATTCCTTTAAAAAATGTAATCCTAATCTGGAAGACGCCAAGAACAAAAGCAAGCAAACACCCAATTATAAACTCTCAGGTACTTTCCCAGAAATGCCTGTGCTCTGACTACATGAACAAACTGGCATGTAAAATATTACCTAAAGCATGCAAGGAACAGCTTTGCCAAAGAACTCAAAATATGTATGTACATATTATCGATCCTTGATTCTCGTAATATCTCCACTTAGTAGACACAGCACCTATTCTACTTTGCTCATGGGGCAAAAAAGGATCCTGTCTTGGCACCAAAAATCTTGAAAAAGGTAGCTATCTCCTCAAGAATTAACGGGCGGTTTTTCTACTGCCAACTCCCCACGTTTTGTTTCTGCGCGCTGTTTAACACAATTGTCCTACATACGCTGAAACCAACCAAGACAAGTCCTAAATATCTAAATGACCACTAAAAAGACATATAAAGTATCTATAAAATTAAAACTCTCATCATGTAAGACCTTAAAAAATATTACTTCTATTTGCATTAGTAGTGATTACCCGTGTGTCGGTTCACTAAAGTCAGGAGCACAATATATGTGCCTTCTTTGTTTGATTCTCTAAGTAACAGATTATATAGCTTAAATAAAGAACTTAATCTTTATAGGCTCATAAATTTTAGTACTTAACTGCCAGGATTTCTTGGAAATGTTTAAAAAGGACTCTGGATCTCAACCAATATTACTTCTTTGTGCTTTGCATATACAGTTAAAAGTAATACCAAGGTTATTAACAGAGAAGAAAAGTAGGCAATTCCCACAAATAGGAAAGTAAAACACTGTAACACCAAGGGAAAAAAAACCTATCCAAGGACATTAAACCTGAGGTAAGCGCACATTTAAACAACACGTAGCCAATTACCTTCACTGAATTCATTTAGCAACTCTTCCTTGGTCCAATTACATGAGGTTATTAGAAAAAAGCCTTTCACTTTCAACACCCTGGAGAGAGATTTCACATATTGCTTCCTCTTCTCAATTGCATTGTCCGGATTAAGGCTTACGGCATCAAAAGTCCCTCTGTCAATACAAATATGAAATCCGGACAGCTCTGTGGAAAGATTCAAAAAGTCTTCTACCTGTATTAAAAAAACCAATGCATATGTGAGAACAATTAACACACAATCTTTACTGAACTTAAGTGACAATCTGTAACAAGTTACAGATAGAAGTACCCATTCATTTTGATGGCATTTTACATGTAATAAACATATTTTCAGCTTTATAGCTCACTTTTATGTGCTTCATTCCAAGATCATTACAGCTAAGATTAGTAAGAGAGACTGACAGTGTTTCCTGGGCATTCCAAATTTGGAAACAAATCAAAGCCAGGTGTATGCCTAATAACACCAGCACAGAACAGAGCTCACCGTTATTTCTGCTGATAAGTAGCGTATTTGACATAGTCTTAAAAATGACAAAAATTATCTGGAACTCAAACAGGTCGCTGGAAATAAGATGATTTTTAGTTAAGATTACAAGTTGTGTGACCTAAAGTAAAAAGGAAGATAGAAGTTTCTTGCCTTGACTCAGCAGCTTACAAAGCAACTAATGGATGGAATGAATGACCTAAAGCTTAAGAAATGAAATGGTTGTTTAACCTGCAATTAGTTAACTTTATAAATATATCATTCACTTTAGAATCTGGAAGTCACATATCAGCCTCTCATTCATTTTCAATAACCACTGACATTATAAGCACTTGAAATAGTGAGGTACCCAATTTCATAAAATACTCAAAATAATCTGCCAATACACTCAATTCCAAAAAGGTACTTTGAAAAAGCAATTAGGCAATTAGCCGATGACTGTTCTCACAAACTTAACAAAGTCATCATAAATAGTGTATTACCTAAAACTCCCTCATTGACTTCAAAACGTGGACCTTATGTGTCCGTACAATGGACCATGGGCGTCCCCCACCCCCGACTCCCAAGTGGTCACGGTGCCTGAAGCAAAGTAACGACTACCACTCTTAAGAGGTAAGTTTGAAGGCATTCCTGCCCTAAATGCCTGCGTGAAAGTACACATTTATTCAACAAATACTTCATAGGCACCTCTTAAATGCAGGAACTTTTCAGGCCCTGGGAATATAACAGCAATCAAAACAGAAAAGCTCACTGCAGAAGAATATATCTTATATTCTCTAAAGGGAGAAGCAAATAATAAACAAGCTAAACAAGTAATTTCAGATAAAGTGCTATGAAGGAAATAAAAACAGAACGACGAAGACAGCGAGTGGCCGGGAAGAGAGCTGTGCGGGCAAAGGCCGTCAGGAGAGGCCTCGGCAGATGGCAACAGCCCAGCGGGGACCTCAAGGACGAGGACAAACAGCTAAGGGACGTCTCGGGCGACACTCTCCTAGGCAGGGCACCCCGGGTGTAAAGGCTGGAGGAGAAGGACAGGAGGGACAGAGGCAGAAAGAACCGCAGGCTCGGGGCTGCGCGGGCAGGGGTAAGGCAGGAGAGGCTCCGCGAGGCTGGGTGGGGCTCAGATTCCATTCTCGGGGCAGAGGGGAAGCCCGGGAGGCTGGGGACCGGCGAGTCCCAGAGCTGATCTGCATTGTAAAAGATCCCTCCGGGCTGCCCTGCGGCAACAGTGGGCGAGCTGGCCAGAGGGGGAACAGGGAGGCCAAGTCAGAGGCTACAGTACGTGTCTAGGCTAGAAAAGACAGAAAAGACGGTGGCTCGGCTTTGGGAGGCAGCGCTGGAGACGCCCAGGAATGGTTGCATTCCTGATTTGCTTTGAAGATAAAAGCAACAGAACTGGACAAAGAATTTAAAGGAAAGAGAGGAATCAAGGATGACTCCTTGGGTTTTGGGTTAGTGCAACTGGCAAATGAATGCAGGTGTCATCAGAGAGATTGGAAGGGGGTTGGGGAGATGCAGGTTTAAGGAGGAAACCGAGAGTATGATTTTGGACCAATTGAGAGACTATTAACTATCCAAGTGGAACCGTAAAATACACAGTTTTTATATAATTCTAGAGCTCAGGGGAGATGCCTAAGCTAGAAATATAAAAATATAAATGCAAGACACATCAACTCCTTACAGATCACAAAAATAAACTAAGCAATCTTTAGTGGCATTATCCCACTTGATGCACTAACAACATTTTGATCTAATTAATTCAGTTAGGTACTATTTGTGTGTGTTTGCACACACGAGGAGGGCGGAGGAGGAAAGAAGCAAACTTGTACTCAAGGAAGAAAATAACTTCCCCCAGCTGACTAGACTAAAAATTCTTTAAAATGTTTCATTTTGGCTTATTTATGATTAATATGCTTTAGAAACATTTCAATCTTATAACTTTCATTAGAAATAAAAATAAGTTATAGTAATATAAATAAGTTACCTTCAACTTAATGTTAGATAAACCTTCTTTCTCTATAATACTTCCAGACAGCTGTATTGCAGGGGGGGAGTAATCAATTCCAGTAATATTAGAGAAACCAAGTTTTGCCTAGAGACAGAGAAGTAATTTTATACTTTAGTTTTAAAAAGTTTTAATATACTGTTTTGCCTATGAATTATAATATTCCTTTAGGACTGGGAGTGTTTTATTTATTTTCAATAGATCAAGTAACGTAACATACACCATCCAATAATCTGCAACGTTTAAATTTTATTGTAGAATCAAAACAGAAACTAAAACTTTAAATTTATAGAATGTGACAATTCATTTGCTTTTATAATATTTGATTTCTTTTTCAAAAGGAAATTCATTTTCTCAAAGATAATGAGGATACTTATATGTATTATTTCTGCCCTCAAGCAGAAAAATGTAGTATTAACTTCTGATGTTGATATGCTCTAATTCACACATGAATGTGTCATAAATTTTACTTAACACAATTTAGTTAGATGAATAAATTCAATCAATGTAAATGAAACGAGTTCTCGATTCTAAACGTCCACTCAGTGTAATTATAAACGATGCAACCCTCCGACAGCCATGTGATTAATTTGTATAGCAGTTTTTGTTTTTGAAATATTTCATACATTTCAATAGATCTTTACAAAACACCTGTGAGGTGGGGCCGAAGAGCTGAAGGAAGCTCACTGGGCTGAAGAGTTCTGAGCCTGAAGCCATAGCACCGGCTACTGACTAACCCTACGGACCCACTGAAGGGTGTCTGGCACCTGCAGCAAGAGCACGTGGCTTCTGACCTTCACCCCCACCACCTGACTATGCTGAACATTCTCAGCCCCATCGCAAAGGATATTTGAAGAGAAAAAGAAGCTGCAAAGCGCAGAGAAGCCTGAAATTCTGTTTCTGCTCTTCACACTTTACTAAATGATCACTTCAAAATTTAACCTACTCCAATACCATCCATCTAGCCTTGCCCAGACTTTTCAACCCTAAGTGGCTGATTTCTAATCTAAACTCAAGTACACGCCACTGACTTCCACAGAGCACTTTGTTTCCTTTGCCTATTGTCAATCTTAAAGTCTAATATCCTTCTTTGATGACAACCCCCTCCTTTCAGCCGACTCACTGCGTTCTCTGAAGTCTTCATTTTCTCACCATCCCCTCAATGCCTGCTCTATCAGACCTAGAGCACAGAAGGAGTCTAAGAGTTGACTCTTACCAACGCTCTCCTGTCCCATGCTTGTTTATTCTTCCAGCAGAACTTCTAAAAGTCATAAACAGCTGTCTTAGGATTCTAGAACCACAATCCGAAGCCTCAAAATATCTCCAACAATTTTCATGTTGTCTCTGGCACTCAGGTGAGAAAGCAGCAGACATTCAAGGATACAATAAATGACCAAAGCCAAGGGGAAAAACTGGCATTACAAAAAGACCCAAAGAAGCCCCAAATGGAAGAATGGTAAGGGACAGATTTTAAAATGACTGAAATAAGAATTTGGAGAATGTAGACAGATAATTGGAAACTTAACAGAAGAACCAAACAAGTAACAGAAATTAAAAATGCAGCAAGTTAAGACACTGAAGATCGTTGCTACCCCCCAATAAATAGTGTGTAGCTCAAAAAAAGAAAAAAGAAAAGAAACTGAAGAGTGAGCTTGATAGCAAATTAGACACAGAAAGAAAATTAAGTCAGTTGGAAGAAATGTCAGAATACCTGCTAAGCATACAGTAACAAAAGGATGGAAAATTAAAAACAGGAAAGAACATAAAAGGCATAAGAGAGCAGAAAGTGTAATAGCTAACATATATAAAATAGGAATCTTCAAGGGAGAAAAAGTGAGAATGGGCAGAAGAGAAAATGGTACCCTGCTGCGAATTTTCTAATATCAACAATGGACCCCAAACCACATATTCAGTAAGTTCTGTAGACCCAAGGCACAGTGAAAACAAAGAAAACCAGTCTAGTTTAATGTATCTGCTGAAAACTAAAAACAGAAAAATCTCAAAAGCATCCAGGGAAGAAGAGTGGGGTGAAAAATTACCTTCAGAATAAGATTGACAGCTGCCAATAAGCCATAAAGAATGAAAGCCAAAGATAATAAAAGAAAAATGCCAATCTAAAATGATACAGCAAATATATGCATTAAAATTGTTCTTAGATTCAAAAAGCTCAGTGAACCCCAAATAGAGTAAGCACAAAGAAATCCAAGCAGCAGCACATCACAAGAAAATTGCCAAAAACTAAGACAGAAAAAACCCTGAAAGTATCGAAAAACATGACACAATACTTATAGGAACACAATTTCAATGGCTGCAGACTCCTCATTAACCATGGAGGTCAGAAAGAAATAACATAACATTTTTAATGTACTGAAAGAAAAGTTAATTAAGAATTCCATGTTCTGCAAAAACATCCCTTAGGAATGAAAGCAAAATAAAGACATTCTCAGATGAAGAAATGCTAAGGAAATTCCCTGCCAAGAAACCTCTAAAACAATCCCCAGAAAGTTACTTAGACACCCTGACCGGATGGCTCAGTGCTCTCTCCCCGCTCCTTTCTCTCTAAAATCGATACGCATATACTCGGCTGAGGACTTATAAATAAATAAATACATAGATAGATAAATAAATGAATGAAAATAAGCAAACAGACCCAAAGGATCCAGAAAGAAGACCTGAACACATACCATTACTAGACATACGACAGAGGTGCAATGGGGGAAAAGAGGAACATTTCAATAAATGGTGCTGGTTTATCTCGATACATATAGGGGAAAAAATAAACATTGACCTCTACCTCACAACACAGACAACAATTAATCAGGTCCTAAATGTGAAAAGGAAAACAGTAAAACTACCAGAAGTACACATCAGAAAATATATTTATGATTTGGGGGAAGCAAACTTACTATACAATATTCAAAAATCACTAATCATTTTATTTATTTATTTTTAGAAGAGGGGAAGGGAGGCAGAAAGAAGGAAGGAAGGAAGGAAGGAAGGAAGGAAGGAAGGAAGGAAGGAAGGAAGGAAGGAGAAACATGGACGTGCCGGAGAAACTTAGATCGGTAGCCTCTCGCATGCCCCCAACAGGGGATCTGGCCTACAAATGGGACATGTGCACTTTCCTGGAATCGAACAGTCAACTTTTTGGTCTGGAGAGCCAACGCTCAATCCACTGAACCACACCAGCCAGGGCTTAAAACATTATATATTAAGCTTTAGTAAATTAAAGAACTTCTGTTGTTCATCAAAAGATAGTATTGCAAAAGTGAAAAGGCAGCTCTGGCTGGTGTGGCTCAGTGGATTGAATGCCAGCCTGTGAACCAAAGGGTCACTGGTTCAATTCCGAGTCAGGGCACATGCTGGGGTTGCAGGCCATGTCCTCTGCCAGGGCCGCAGGAGAGGCAACCACACATTGATGTTTCTCTCTCTCTCTGTTTCTCCTTCCCTTCCTCTCTCTAAAAATAAATAAATAAAATCCTGAAGAAAAAAAAAATAGTGAAAAGGCAAACCACAGATTAGACAAAGGGATTTGCAATACAAAGGTCACATATAAAGAAATATAAAGAACACCTATAAATCAGTAAGAAAAAAACAAGCAAACCAATTTTTAGGTGGGGAAAAAAACCTTAAACAAGCATTACACAAAAAAGGAATAGCCAAACAGCCAAAAAACATACACAAATATGCCCAATACATTTAGTCATTAGGGAAATGAGACTAAACCATAAGATACAACTACACACCTACCAAAACCACTACAATTGCATTAACTGACAAGACCAGATGTTGTCAAGGACACGGAGTGACTGGAATTCTCACATACTGCCCATGACACAAACTAGTAGAACCATTTTGGAAAACTGGTGACATTCATAAGAACACAGTATTGAAAACAGGCCTAATGTCCATCAACAGGAGAATGAATGAATGAATGAATGAATGACTAAATAAATAAGTAAACTATGGCTATTTTTATACAGCACATGACTATACTACAATGAAATGAAGCAAGCTAGCATACACACAACAAATCCATGCTCAGCAAAAGAAGCCAGATGGAAAAAAATACACAGTGATATCATGACACCATTTAAATCGAGTCAAAAACAGACAAACTCAATGTAATGGAGAAAGGATAATCTTTTCAACAAATGACAGATGGAACAATTCAACATTCATATGCAGAAAAAACAAAACAAAACTGGAAGACGAGCCTCAACCAGTATCTCAAACCTCAGACAAGAACTCAAAACAAATCATAGATCTATGCCTTGGCTGGTGTGGCTCAGAGGGTTAAGTGCCAGCCTGTGAACCAAAGAGTGACCAGTTCAATCTCCAGCCAGGGCACATGCCTGGGTTGCAGGCCGTGACCCCAATAGGGGGCGTGCAAGAGGCAACCACATATTGATGTTTCTCTCCCTCTCTTTCTCCCTCCTTTCCCCTCTTCCTAAAAATAAATCTTTTTTAAAAAATCAAAGCTCTAAAATGTAAAAGGGAAAGTTTTGTAACTTTTAAAATATTCAAGAAGACCTATGTGACAGTTAGGCAGAGTTCTTTAATATGACAACAAAAGCACAATCCATATGAGAAAAATTAATAAATTCGACTTCATCAAAACCCAGAACTTCTGCTCTTCAGAAGCACTGTTGAGACAATGAAAAAACAAGCCAAGAAAAAAACAAATGGGAGAAAACATTTACAAATCATATACCTGACAAAGAACTTATATCCAGAATACATAAAGAATTCTCAAATCTTAACAAATAAATAGCCCAGTTTAAAAACAGCAAATGATTTGAACACACATTTCACCAAAAAAAATATATACAATTGGCAAATAAGCACATGAAAGGTGCTCAGCATCATTAGTCATTAGAGAAATGATAATCAAAGCCACAGGGAGAAACCAGCACCGCTAATACCAAAAATAGCCCAACGCACAATGGCAGAAGCCAGAATTACGTTCAGAATGGAATGACTGGGAAGGGCACGAGGAGACTTCTGCGGCGCTAACAATGTTTTCTTTCTTGATCAGGTTGATGAGTTACACAAATGTGTTCATTTTGTAAAAGTTATACTTATGCTCTGTTCACTTTTCTATATGTATATTATACTTCACTTAATAAGTTCACATTACTTCCCATAAGTTAGGTGGCTTCACCAGTGAAGTCTACCAAACATTTACGGTAAAAGAAAACACGATTTGCCAACCAACTGTCAAAAAGTAGATTTTCCTTTAATGATGTCCACATAACCTGATACCACCACTTAACACAGACACTGCAAGAAAGGAAAATTCAGGACAATCTCTCTCACAAAGCTGCAAAAATCCTAAACAAAACTTTAATACACTGAGGCCAGTAATATATACGTAACTATATATACACACACATCTCTCTCTTACATATGTGTGAATATACATATACTTTACGTGTGTGTATATATACATACACACACATACACACACACACAAACATATAGCTGGGTTTATTCCAGGAATGTATTTAACATCTAAAAATTATCAATGAAGTTCACCAACACGAACAGACTGAAGGAACAAACTCATATAATCATCTCAACTGACACAGGAAAGACATTTGATAAGCAGGACTCATGAGAGAAACACACACACACTCTTAGCAAAGCAGAAATAGGAGGAAACTGCCTCAGTCTCATAACAGAATTATCTACAAAGCAAACCTAAGAGCGAGCATCGCATAGAACAGGGAGATGCTGGAAGTGTCCTCTGGAGGGGGAAACAGAAAAGAGGGCCTCTGCCACTGCTTCTTTTCAACCTGCCACCGGAGGCCGTGGCCTGGGGGCAAGCGGGAACGCTCCGAAGGGCTGGAAAGGGATTCCTAGAGCTGCCCTGTTCACAGGGTCACGTAAACAGATGTATGTAGAAAATCTTAGAAGAATCTACAATGAAACTGTTAGTCTCAAAGAAGAAATCATTAGCTTTTATAAGTAAACTATTAAAATCCGAAAGACTCTACAGGCAAACAACAGAATTACTAAATAAAACTCTGCTATCCCTGTACCCAGGACTCTTTGGCAGCAACGAACAGGAACAAACCGCCACTGCCTGCAACGCCACCAGTGAGTCCCCAGAATGCTCAGTGAAGGACACCAGGAAGGATGCGCAGCGAACTCTTCACTTACGCATTCCAAACAGCAAATGAATCCATGACGTTAAAACCCCCACTACACATTTGGAGAAGGAGGCAGTGGTTTAGAGGGGACTGGTAAGGATTTCAAAGGGAACTCTGAGACTCTGGTATTCGCCTTCTTGACCGGGGTGACAGTTACACAGGTGTGTTCACTTTGTGATCACACGCTGGGCCACAGCCTTCTGCTTTGTTCACTTTCATACATATATACTATACCTCAATGGTTCCAAAAAGCTTATTACAAATTTTTCTAATCTTATTCCACTGTTTGACACATTTTCACAGCTCCCCTTAGCCTAAAAGTAAAATCTAAGCTCTTAGGCATGGCATACTATGATCTGGCTCCTACCTGTAACTCAATCCTTATCTCTAGCCACCCCATACATATACTTTGCATTTTAATTCACCAGATTATTTACAGGCTCAGTACATGCTAGGCTGCTGCAAACCTTCGTGCCTTTAGCTGTTGCTGCCACTGCCTGAAATTCCCTCCCTCTTTACACCCAACCCACAGTCAGCGCTAAAAGTCACTTTCTATTTATACATACAGATACCTGGAGTCCAGAGCTAGAAGAAACCAACAGAAATCACCAAGTCAAAATCTTTAGGAAGGAACTGAAGCCCAGAAAAATTAAGCGGTTGGGTCAAAGCCAAGGCTACACCAAGACTACGACTGAGATCCCCTGGCTTCTCATTTAGTTCCTTCTCTCAATCCACGCAGCCTCCCTTCTGTGCCCTGTGACTTCTCAAAGGGCGCGGTATGACTGCTTCACTACTTTAGACCTAGGTCATCAGTATCCTCGACCGCAAGTTTTTTAAATTTCATTTTAAAATTTGGCTCTAACACATGAATACTAAAAGTACCAACAAGTTCAACCAGGAAAACACCGTTTCCAGTTCCAATATCAAGCACTGAAGCATCCAATGGAATCTTGTGTTTCTGCAACCACCTTATCAGTCGATTCATACTCTCCTCCCCAAACCTATTAGAAACAGAGAATCAGTTAGTCAAACAACAGAGGGACATAGAGCAAAGGTTACAAACATATTTCATTTAAGTAGATTATTCAATATGCTCAAATAAGCCTTTTTTGAAAGTAAGTGGTAATATTTGTAACTGCCTAAGCTTCATCTCTACTATTATTTAAGAAAAAAACACCTAAGAATAGAGCAGAATAGATCAGATCGGTATATTACTTATTAACATTTCTCTACCTCAGCATTAACGTTTATATGTATCGACGGCTCAAAATTTTATTGCTTATTTAAAGAGAACAATTATAGGAAGAAAGTAATTTTATAATACTGTCATCAAATTTAAATCTGGACCATTAAAATAAAGAGGTCCTTTAATTCTACCCACTAAAGCCAGAATCAGTTCAAGGCTGTCAAGATTTCCAGGCAATCTTTCTTTGGAATATGCACTTAAAAGATAAAGGTACACACACATGGCATCTTCTAGATCGTAATTCTACTATTTGTTGTAACTCACCAGATTTCTCCTCTATCTCCATAGTCTTGGAAATTGTTCAGTCCTCTCTCATAGACAGCATCCCAACTATACAAATGATCAAATGCAAAGCAAGATTCTTAAGTTAAACTGTATTATGAATTAAATGTATGTTTCTAATACGTTATAGAGATTTATGACAGATGTTTAAAACATGATTAGTGTTATCAAATCTCTTTAGTAGCTCAAATCTCTTAACATCTTGCTGTTTAAAAAAGTGAAAGACATAGACAAGCAGAGTAAATGTACACATGTAAGGCACTTAGAACAATACCTGACACCTAAAAATACTATGTTTCAGCTTACAAAAATACAACGAAGTATTTGTTTGAGGATCCCTTAGTCCCAAACACAAGTCCAAACTTTCAGCTTAAAACGTGTGGGAACAGCCCTTGCTGATGTGGCTCGGTAGACTGAGCACTAGCCTGCAAACCAAAGGGTTTCCGGTTCGATTCCCAGCCAGGGCACATGCCTGGGTTGCAGGTCAGGTCCCCAGTCGGCGGCTTATGAGAAGCAACCATGCATTGATGTTTCTCTCCCTCTCTTCCTCCCTTCCCCTCTCTCTAAAAATAAATAAATTAATTAATTTTTTAAAAAATGTGTGGTTTCTACTAACAGTGGTTACTCACAATGGAACTCACCAAAGATAAGCTCTGCTTAAGGGATGTTTTTACTCTTATTCCTTTTAAGTCCAGTTCTCCCTCCCCCATCATTTGCCTTCGCTTCCTGCTTCATCTCTCTAGAATCCCCTGCTCCCTCGGACCCCTCCAAGTTACCTCTTACCCTAACCTTTCCTCGCAGTCATTCACTCCCTCACCGAGTAACCCGTTCAATAATTCCTGAGCATCTGTTTTAGGTCAGGATACGGTCTCCTCCCCCAAGATAACCCACCGCCTCCTCACTCCCTCCTGTGGTCACCCTCCACTCCCACCCGTTCGAGCTCCCACTTCCCTAGCCTGGTCTCCTCAGTCTTTTCCTACCCTTGGCCCAGCAGGTCTCCCCCGGCCTCTTCCCCTGGCCCAATTAGTCAGCCCCGCCCCCTCCCTCGTTCCCCAAGCCCGACCCTCAAGTTCAAGGCCCCTAAAAGGCTTCCCCAAGATCTTCAGAGCCCGTCCCGAAACCCACAAGCCCATCAGATGTCAACCCCTTAAGATGTCTCTTAATCGTCCCCCAAAGTGGCCCCTCGGGATTCCGTGCCTCCATTCCCTCCCCGCCTTACGCTCTCCTAAGGCGGTCCTTTTACGCTTCCTCCCGTCGCGCACTCCAGGCTCGCCCCATCTTCCGAGACCCCCAGGGCCCATCCCTCCGTCCCCTACCCCGGGGGGCACTCCGGGCAGCGCCGCTCACCCTGCCCTGCTCCACACTCACTGCTCTCGGGTCCCCAGCGGCGACGGGGCAAAGTCATCCCCTCCGGGACTGCCCTCTCGGAACCGCGCCGCGTCCTCGGCGCCTCCTCCCGCGATCATGCTGCTCCGCTCCGGGGACTGCCGTGTGGCCGCCATAGAGACGTGGCGCGGGCAGAGAGGATGTGCGGGGTGGCGCCTCTAGGCACAGAGGAGGCCGCCCTCTCTACTGCTCACGACCCGCTGTGCGTCCGGGCTCCGCCTTCGTCCAAAGCCTTGGGTACCAAACACAGACCGGCCAGGCTGGGCCGCGCCTCCCTCTTCCGCCCCTTGCATCCGACGTCAGATGCACCGCCTTCCTCAAGGTGCTCGCCAACGGGCCACTGTATTTGGGAACTGTTGTTTGTAAGGGACTATTCAAGGTACTGCATTTTGGAAAAAGACTGGCAGTAGTGGGTAAGCCACACTAAAAACCTAAAGCTAGCACTGCTCAATCCAAACACACAAATCACCTCATCTCTCCATGTTGTGGGCAGATCTGGGAATCATTACTTGGCTTCCGGCTAATTCCATTTGTGCCTTGAAAATAACATTCCGGCTTCTCCTGAAACGGGACATCACTAGGTGGACATGAGAATTTATGCCCAGAGAAATGAATGCCCTATAACCCCACCCCATCCCCAAAATACAGGGGGTCAGGGTGTTGTGGAAGAAAGAGTGCTAAGTGAGTCAAGACCCCTGGCTGCCTGTCTCAGCTCTGGCCCTCACCAGGCACCCGGCCCCATCCAAGACTCCCAACCTCTGTGTGTGTCAGTTTCCACACCTGTACCTCACCCTAAATGGATGGGGACTGTCCTATGAGATTGCTCCCAACCAGTGAAGGTGAAATTCCTTTGCCTCTTGGTCTGGGCCGCTGCTGGTAGCTACACAGCATAATGCAAGAGATCTTATGTGCCGAAGGTCTGGGAGGGTTTCCGTAGCAGCAATGAATTGCTGGTATGTCCTAGGCAAGGATCTCAAAGGCCCCTGGCCAGGCTGCCTTCCAACCAAAAGGAAAGTTTCCTAGGCCACGTTTCTGTTGACTCGGCAGACTAAGTCCCTAGAGGTAAACAACCTCAACAGTTGCCTTTCCAGCTCCCAGAAATCCCAGTTAGGACAGAATGTGCATCTCCTCCTATAGAAGACATTCCAAGACCTTCAGGCAACCACGGTTGACAGAATGCAGTGAAAGACAGAAGAGAGTCATGTGCGTAGTGATTAAAGAACCCATGAAAGAGCGTAAGTAACCTTATTATAGAGTAATAAAACCACCGGATGCCACAGCCAATTAGTGCAGCCCTGCACGAATGGTTGTTTTCATATTTTCTAGACTCGAGATGCTGGAGCAAGCAAGCTTGAATGTGACTGAGTGGGTCTTAAAGAGTCTTAGGTTATAATTATGAAGTACGCATGAAAGATAAAGCCATCTGCAATCTGAAGTCTGGCCAACACTTAAGTTGTTTTCGCTGTGTGTGATGAATGCTATAAACACTTGTTGGTATGGAGCCCTGGAAAAACCCACGGTTTATAAAGAGTTCCTTCTGTGGCTCCAGGGTTACTCGGGCTGTTTAGTCCTGAAGGCTGTGTGGGGCACCACCTCTGATCACTCAGGGCAATGAGATCCTTGGGGTGGGGGGAGAAGCTTAGTCCCAACAGAGTCGCCCATCACCAGGGAAAAGCTGGAATGTGCCAGGCAGCACAGTCCCTCCCACTGGTGCTTGTTTCATGGGGCAGGAGGGAGGCTCTGCAAGTCTCCTGGCTTGTCTGTCTCTCTCTCAGCCTGCCAATCCCCACAGCGTGATACCCTGCTCCCTTTCAACATGTCTGAAACTACGCTTCCAAGGTTTCTCAGCGGCTTCCTAGTTGGCAAGCCAAGGGTCAAGTTCCAGGCTTTACCTCTCTTGAGGAATCCCATAGGAGTCAACACAGCTTAGCATACCCTTCTTCAAACCCTTCTTTTCCCCCCATCACCACCTGCTCTTAAGTGAAGCTTCCAAAAAATGCTCAAGTTGGACTGCCAGGATTTGAGCCTTTGCCTTCCCATGTGTGACTACAGGCCACGCTCCTTCGCTTCTCAGGGTCTCCGTTTGCCCATTCTTATAACAAGGATAATAATAGTGCCCATGGCATAGGGCAGCTGTAGAGATTAAATCAGATAATTTCTATAAAATCTTACGTGCCTGATGTATAAATTGCTCAGTAAATGTTACCTCAGTTTCTTCAACCATAAAATAGAGTTTAAAATGGGTCTACTTCAGAAGTTTGTTAGTAAGGCTAAATGTCAATACCCTATACACGTAGAGCTTATGACAGAACCTGATATATAATCAGTGTTCAGTAAGTGTTAGCTATCGTTCTTACTGTTAGTGACTTCCCATACTACCCTCTGCCCTCAGCTCCAGACTTCTGCTGCGGGTGCCTAGACGTCCCTTGTTACATTAAACTCAGCCCGCAGCCCTCATGCCTCCAAACCCTCTCTTCCCTGTGTTCTCTATTCCCCTGGTCCCTGACCATCCTACCATCCCTCAGAACACAGTGTCATTCTTTTCCTTTCCTCATGCTCCCCACACAGCTCTTCCTGGTCTCTTGTTGGTCTCTGGGCTCAGGGACCTTTTTCAGTCCTTTCATTACAACTCTGTCTTCTTTTGGGCCGCTCTGGCTCCCAGCTCACAAAAACTGTATGCTTTGACAGAATTTGAAGACTGCTGACTGATTAAAGCAGGAGGTCAAGAGTGATTCCAAGGTTGTCCTGCCCAACTGCCAGAAAACAGTTCTGTTTCCTTGGAAAGAATGTGGTGAGAGTTTTGTGGGAGATCAAGAGCCCAGTTTTGAACCAGAAAGACAGAACTAATGAAAGGATAATGATTAGAAAAGTGAGTTCGTTCCTTGCCTGAGTTTCTTTGCCTAACTTTTTTATAGTTTATTTTCACTTTTACTTATTATTTATGGGGTTTTTATCCTCTTTCGATTACTTTTTCACTACATTTGCGTTCCCTTGTACCCAGAATCCAAATGCTACTTACCACCTCCCCTGTTTCCCCCATTTCACTTCTAACCACCCCTAAACCACCATCATCCCGAGTCTGGGTTATTGTGATGCCGCCTTCTCTCTCCTGGCACTATATTCTTGACATTGCAGACAGAAAGGTCATATGGAAATTGAAATCACATCGCGTTATTTCTATTATACAACAAACCCAAAACCATGCAATTGCCTGAATCATCTCTCTCTCCGGTTGTCCTTGAGCAGGGCCAATGTTGGACTTGAATAATTTTATTTGCAAAAACAAAAAATCGCCTGCGTTACTATCAGGGTCTATACAGAAGAGGCAATGTCTCGGGTGGGCCGGGCGCGAGACCCACGGGTTGACGCGGTGCGGGAGTCGTCCTGAGCACGTAAGCCTGCACTTAGCCCACACGCCGGGCGCATTTCGACCTCCTGGCCTCAACAGCCGCAGACTTCATTTCCCAGGATGCCAAGAGGCGAGGCCGGCCGGAAGACTGCGTGCCCTCCGCGGGGCATGATGGGAGAGTTGGAGATTTCCATCATGGCGGCTTCCATTTCGGGCTACACCTTCAGCGCTGTGTGTTTCCACAGCGCCAACAGCAACGCTGACCACGTAGGTGCTGGGACCCCCCGCCGTGGCCGCTGAGGCCTCCAGCCTCTGTCACGGGCGACGCCCGGACCACTTGCGGCTCGCGCCCCAGGCTCACCGGCCGGCCCGAGGGAGCTGCTGACCCGGGCTGCTCCCGCCCCTGGCGAGCTCCTGCTGCCCCGAGCTCCTTCTCCCTCGGGATGGGCCCCCTCGCTCGGTGCCTTCCGCCGCCCGACCGTCCCGGGACAGCGGTCTCCGGTTTAGCAAAGCTGGCCCGGCCGGCCGCCGGCAGTGTCAGAGGTCACTTAGTGGAATCGGAGCGCCTGCCCCTCCCTGAGTGTCAGGCTTCTGGACTCGTGAGGGGAGCCCGGGGTCGGGAAAGAGCCCAGGGGCCCCGCCCCGCCCGCTCGTTATACAGGTTGTCGTGGGGTGTGACGAGGAAAACCATGGCTGTCACCATTCATACTTGTTACATATGCTCGTGTGTTTTCTTCTTCTCGATGGAAAACGGAGAATGTAAACGGGAGTGTTAGGTGTAAGGTGTATTTGCCCTGAAGTTGCATGTTTATTTCCTCGGCAACTGTTCTAAGGCCCCGGAACTAAGTCGCAGTGAAATGGGGAAGTGACAGGCCTGCGCGTGAGTGATCGGAAATGCACAGGCTTTGGAGACCACAGAGCGAGCAGAGCCTGTCAGCTTCAGTGTCTTTATTTTATGGATGGTCTTCATGTCACTGACCTCTGAGTGGAAATTCTTTGTGAAACTGGATAGTGTTTTATCTGTAAGGAAGTGTTTCATTTGCTCACCAAATTGGGGGATGATTTTAAATGATGCTAAGAGTGAATTGTTCAAATTATTTAAATAAGAGAGAGAGAGAGAGAGAGAGAGAGAGAGAGTGTGTGTGTGTGTGTGTGTGTGTGTGTGTGTGTGTGATTACAAAGCAAAATGATACCCTGCAGAAGAAGGAACTGGATTTGGTTGGATGTCAGCAATCTTAGCTTCCATTAATAAAAACTTGTAGAGAGGCAATTCCATTAGTAAATTAGACGACATTAAATTAATGTACCTTCCATCGCTTCAGTGCCAGCGGTGGAGATTAATGATAAGAATATACACAATGTGGGCTTCTCCAGAGGCCACTCCTGTCTCTCGACACTCAGGCCTTTGATCCTACAGCCGGCTATTTAATAATGTAATGCAGTTCCAAATGTGGGTGGTTCGTGATAGTCCTGCTGTCCGTGGAAATGCTAGGTATTGTTGAAATAATGCTTCCTAACCTCTAATTTTTGGATTGCCTAGTATTGTCACAGTTTATGTGTGGGACGAGGTCATTATAAGAATAAGCAGCTACCTGTTGAAAAGTGGCTAAGTTTTTCTACAAACGGCAGTGGTGTGGTTATATTACTTGGCTTGTTATTGATTTAATTCAAGAGGCATTTCTTTAATATCTACCCTGTGCCAGGTATAGTGGCTAGACCACCAATGACAAGTAGTTTGCAACTGTATTGGATATGACCATACCTGTTTATGTTAACCTTGCCACAATTATGTATGTGGAGTAAAGTCATTTTAATTGTATATATTTCAAAGTTGAAGAACCAAGAATTTGCTTTTGTAGTACATTCTTATTTGACCCCAGCAAGAAAGGAGTTGGGATTAACCAACTTTTTGTATAGAGGGCCACATAGTAAATGTTTTAGGCTTTGGGAGCCAAGTGGTCTCTAACAACCACTCAACTCTGCTGTTGTAGGGAAAAAGCAACAATATATGATAAATAAATCGGGGTGACTGTTTGCAATAAACTTTATGTATGGACACCGAAATTTGAATTTCATAACATTTTCACATCATGAAATATTCCTATTTTATTTTTTTCAATCATTTAAAAGTGTAGAAATCATTCTTAGCTTATGGACTATACAATAACAGGCATTAGACTAGGTTCTGCCCACACACAATAGTTTGCCTACTCATGCTATAAAGTAACAGTGGCTCAGATAATCCCAGACCAGTAAGTAAATAAGCATTTATTTTATATTTGGCTTTAGAATGTCTTGATGTCACTGTTGACTTTTTCAAAATGAGAACTGCAGTAGAGTTGCCAGATAAAATATAGGGCATCCAGTTAAATTTGAATTTCAGATAAACAAATCATTTTGATGTAATATTTGGTGGATATATTTGATGGGATATACTTATACTAAAAAAATTATTATTTATCTGAAATTCAAATTTAACTGGGTGTCTTGTATTTTCATTTGCTAAATCTGGCAACTCTAGATTGGAACACTAGGAATCTGTAGATGTGTTCTAAAGTTCTGTAGAAATTTTAATTTTTTTTCTATTTTACCTGTTACAAGGTTTCTCTTCTGTAGTGATAACTCATAACTGAAAGACTTTTATAAGATGAAAGAAGCTTTTTCAGTCAGTGTTTCTCAAACTAGTAGTCATGCTGACTCCTGAGAGAATTAACATCCGAGACAATTTTTTTTAAGGAGACTTCCTTATTTCTCACATTTGAGAATATCCTGTACATGATGGTTTAGGATTATAGGACCCTCCACTCCCCTAATCCAATACAAAAACTATACTATAAAGCATCTGTCTTTCCCTCCTCACTCCCACAGATTCTCAATTCCAATGGGGAATGTTCCTGAATTAGGAACCTTCTTTAATGGATTTGAAGGATCACCCTAGACTACAAAAAGGTATACAGTACAGGGCATTATTTCAGCAAATTTATTCAACCAGTATTTATTGAGCACTTCATAGTTTGTTCGGCAGTGTGCTAGGTGCTGATACAGCAATAAACTAGGACAACGTCCCTGCTCTCGTGAAGTTACATTTTAGTGGGGATAGACATTTATTCCTATAAATATGTAATATCGCAGAGAGTGAAAAGACTGCGGAGGAAAAGGATGCGGGGTAAAGAGGACAGAGTGTCCGGCGGATGCTCTGTTCGTTACATTGGCTGGGAAGACCTCTCTGACAAGGCACTATTGGAGTAAAGAGCCTAGTGGAGGGAAGGGGTAAGCCCTGTGGGTCCCCGGGAGGGAGGTGCCAGGACAGCCCATCTGTACAGCGAAGTTATTTTGACATTTGGGGTCTGTGTTCCCCCGCTGTTTGTGCTGAACGTGACAGCAAGCGCTCCGATGGTAGGTTAAGCTCAGTAATCCAGAATTGATTATGGTGGTATATCTTCTCTGAAGGTGTAAATTAACTAGTCTTTGCGTTTAGTGAAAAAACACTTTCATGTGAGTGATAAGAGTTTATCTGCTGAGATCCTAATTTCCCATGTCAGCTTATACAAGAGCAATTAGTCGTGCATTGTGTTAACTTCTTTTTAACTGTTATCCTTTTTAACTGTTATCCTTTTAACTGTTGCTAGTACGATGACATAAATTGTATGCTGATTCAAGAAAACAAGCTTGGAATATTTCTGCTTGCTGAGCTTTTTTGACGTTAGTTATTCTACTTAGTAGGATTTAGGTGATGAATTCACTCATTTTTATTTCAGAAAAACAGGGAAGACTGGAAGGGATTAAAATAATATTTCCTCTTGTATGGGATCCTTTTTTCAAACAACCCAGTTAATATATTTCAGATTGCTTTCAGCTTACTTGTTGGTTTATAGAATGGTAGTTCACATGCCACACTTATTTGGATTATTGTTAAAATTATGTTCTAAATTCCTCCTAACGCCAGTAAAAATCATCTTTACTTTTATTCTGCAACTATTTTCTGTTCTTACTTTTAGGAAGGATTTTTGCTGGGAGAGGTAAGACAAGAGGAAACCTTTAGCATCAGTGACTCACAGATCAGCAACACGGAGTTTCTGCAAGTCATTGGTAAGCAAGTTTGTCGCAGACCTTCGAAGTGCTCTTTTTTATATATATGTGCTGTTTGTTTGTTCTTTAGCCCGTAACTGATTTTAATCTAGAAGATGAGAAAAGTACACAGAAAACCACTAAAATCACAGTGCAACTATTTGCACTAGTAAGTGTTATGAAATGTTTGTATACGTCAGTGTAAATGTGTAGCACATAGCTGTAGGTTTGGGTATTCTATAAAGCTGCCCCGTACCCACTAAGTGATCTTGGACTGAATTTTTGTGTGCTGTTGCACTTAATAGTCTTTTTAAAACCACTCCGAACCTCAGGTTTGCAAATTAGACTCTCCCCGTTGCCAACATCACCTCCTACTACAGCGAAAGGATATGTTATGCAGGTCCTTTCTGAAGGAGTCTGGCAAAGATGTTCACACTCGTTTACGTAAGATATTTGCTAAATCTGTACAGTCTTTTGGCGAATAAGTCAGTCAGTCAGTTTAGGGGAGATTCTTGGGGAAGACGAATGAGTGTTTATAGATGCCTTACTCTATTGGGATCAGTCTTTTTTTCATAAAAGACGGTACCTTTTAGCTGTACCTCAAGTATATCATCAAACTGCATATCCTGATACTCAGAACAAAGCAAGGCACATTTCATTCCCTTATACAGCCCACATTTATTGAAGTGTAAGGCGTGAGCCAGGCAATGAGAGGAATATCCAGATACATCCTTGCCTTCCAGGAGAGTGGGGAGGATAAAACAAGTGCACAGAAGTACCAGGCAGTGCAAGATGAGTGCTGTAAAACAGGAACAGACCAGACCCATAAATTGGTGGCGGGCGGGAACTGCTAGTGGGTGAAATCAGCAAAGACATCGTGAAGAAGGTGAACTCGGGGCCAGGGTAGTACATTCGGAGGAACAGGGCAAGGAGTGCATGAAACATGCAGGGGATCTGGCCTGTTTCTGTGACTCCGACACAGTTTGTGTGACAATGAGTGGTTTGAAATACTGCCTGAAGGCCAGGTCATGTTGGGGCTAAGTCATCAATTTCAAGCCTGTCCTGACAGCCTTCTCCTACATGGGGTGGGAGGCCAGGACGCGGATGAGGCAGGGTCAGGACTAGGGGAAAGGGGACTAGCTCTCTTCTACAGCACTGGAACTATAAAACTCACTTCCACAACATCGACTTGTTAAATAAAGACTTGATACATACAAGTATAGCTATTCTCTCATTGAGGTTTTGCTTTTTTGTTTGTTTGTTTTGCTTAACTCTTTAAAATCCTGAAGGGGAGGATTTGGTTTCATTGGACATCTGTGCACTGATTTAGTGTTTGCATTTGGTTTTTCAAAACTAATTTAGTAGGTGAAGGTTAAAATGCCAGATGTAGTTAACTGACAGCAAACCGTGCAAGAAAGGGCTCTCCTATCTGGCATGACCTCAAAAATAGCATTTCTGATGAATATTCTAGCTGTTTATTTTTAAACAAATACCATGATAAAGTAATTCAGATTCTACAGCAGAGTGTAGTGATTCTTTGATGCTGAAATCTTCTGGTTCTTGCAGTAAACACCCACTTCCATACATTGTGGAAATGGGGCAGTGCCAGTCAGTAGTGTCCCGGTCGGCACAGCGCCGTGACGGACGTCTTCTGCTCAGCAACTTTTATTTTATTGTCTGCCCCCGGCTTAGTATTTGAAATGACTATGGATCTCATGGACAAAGTGTTTGCTAGTATTTTAAATGTATTGTTCTCTTTTTTTTTTTAAATAAATACATATTGTGGGTGAAAGACTTAAATGTAATACCTGAAGCCGTAAAATAACTAGAAGAAAACATAGGCAGTAAACTCTTTGACCTCACTCTTCCCTTTTTGGATATGTCTCTGTGGGCGTGGGCAAGTGCAACAAAAGAAAAATATCAACAAATGGGATTCCATTACACTAAAAAGTTTTTGAACAGTGAAGAAAATCATCAACAAAATGAAAAGGCAACCTGCTTTGAGTAAAGAGAAGATTTTTGCTAATGATGTAGCCAATAGGGGTTAATATCCAAAATATATAAAGAACTCGTAACAATTCAACATCATAAAACAAACAAACAGCCCTGGCTGATGTGGCTCAGTGGATTGAGTGCTGGCCTGCGAACCAAAGGGTTGTCAGTTCGATTCCTGTTCAGGACATGTGCATGGGCTGCAGGCCATGCCCCCAATAGGGGGTACACAAGCGGCAACCACACATTGATGTTTCTCTCCCTCTCTGTCTCCCTCCCTTCCCCTCTCTCGAAAAATAAATAAATAAAATCTTTTTTTAAAAACCCATCTGATTAGCCATTTAAAAAACAAGCAAACAATCCAGTTTAAAAATGGGCAGAGGATCTGAATAGACATTTCTTCAAAGAAGACATACAGATGGCCAACAGACACATGAAAAGATGCTCAGCATCACTAATTATCAGGGAAATGCAAATCAAAACCACAAAACTATCACCTCACATCTGTCAAAATGACTATTATCAAAAAGACAACAACTCTTGGCCAGGTTATGGAGAAAAGAGAACGCTCATTCACTGTTGGTTGGAAAGTATGTTAGTGCAGCCAACATGGAGGGTCCTCAAAAATTTAATGTAGAATTGCTGTACAAAACAGCAATTCCACTTCTGGGTATTTATCCAAAGAAAACAAAACCATCAATTGAAAAGGATATACGCACTCCTGTCAATGTTAATTGCAGCATTGTTTACAGTGGCCAAGATCTGGAAGCAGCCTCTGTCCGTTGAAAGACAAATGTATGAAGAGGACGTGGCACGTGCATAAAATGGAATATCATGCAGCCATAAAAAGAACGAAATCTTACCATTTGTGACAACATTGGTGGGCCTAGAGAGTACTATCTAAAATGAAAAAATCGAACAAGGAAAGACAAATACAGCGTGAGGTCATATATGTGGAATCTAAAAAGCAAAAAAAACAGAAACCGATTCACACATAGAGAACACCGGTGATTGCCAGACAGGGGAGGGCGTGGAGAAGCACAAGCTTCCAGTTATAAAATAAGGCACGAGCGTATGGTACACCATCGATGTCACGATAACTGTGCATTGACAGACGGTCACTAGACTTAGTGTGGCGATCACTTCACAAGGGATGTAAATGTTGAATCACTGTGTTGTAAGCCTGAAACTAACACAATGCTGTATGTCCAATATGCTTTATAAATAAGTAAGTAAATAAACAAAATTTATATTAAAAAGTGTAAACCAGGGATTCTGGAAAACCTGGATTGAAAGGCCAAACATTAAGCAAAGTGCCATGAGTAGTTTTCCCTAGTGATAATGCGAAGAAATTTTCTGGCATAGCTTAACCTTCAGAATAAGATGTTTTAAATAAAATAAGTTAACCAAATATATTATTTGTTGAAATGTGTGAATCCATGCACAGACATCTTTACTCGACTATACAGTAAGGGAGACTTTATGTTGAATATCACATTTTGAGCATGAAGTATCTGTGTCTTGTTTTGAGTACATACTAATTTTGAAAGCCGTGCTAACTCATGTGAAGCAGAGCTGTGCCAGGCAACAGGGGTTTCCGTAGTGAACAAGGTGACGCAGTGGCAGTTACTGGAAAGAATGGAGGGCGAAGGAGCGGAGACGCAGAGAGAGGAAGATGAACGAGAACCCAGCACCTCCCAGCAGGGATTTGTAGGGACGTGTGTGCAGAGTCGCCACACACAGGACAATGAGGGGTCTGGTGTAGACGCGTTCTGGAGAGTGGGAAAGCCCAGGATCCCGGGGTGAGGCCGCCCGGCCAAGGGCCCACCCACCAGCGACCCGCGTGCCCACCCACTTCATGCCAGCCCGCAGCATTGCCGTATTGGAGACCACCGCCCTGTTCTCTCCGTGGAGAGCTCAGTGAGGTGTTGCAAAAAACTGACACGAGGAAGCTTCGACTTCTTCAGGAACTCTGCCGTATCGAGAGTGCGTCTCTGTGCGCTTTTAATCCAGGCTGTAAGTCACACCAGAAGTCTGCTGGGCCAGATCGATGACAGGAGGTGTATTCAGAGTTCAGCGTTTACTCTAGGGATTTTCTTAAAATATTCTTTCCTGTCAAGTAGAAGATGAGGTTTTTTTTCCCTCTTCCCTGAAGTCTAGATAACGTTTTTGCTACAGATGTTTCAAATTTTAATTACTAAAAGTATCTCTGAAATAACTTAGGTATAACAGTATCATTTTGGTGATAAAAGAAGGGCACAGTTTCTATCATAGATGAGGTTTTCTTATTTGTATCACTATGTCAACAGCCTCCTAGGCAAACTTTTTTTTTCAGTTGAAGTATTGTACCCATACATGTGTTTTGGCAGCAGTAACAGCAGCACAGAGGCTAATAGCCCCGTGTCTTTTAGGGTTGTGGTTCCATTTTAATTGAGTTAAAATTGCAGCCTGTAACTCTGGGCTGTGACATTTTAAACAGCAGGTAATGAGTTGCTGTCCAGGAGAATGTTGCTAACAGAATTGAATGGCTAATTAGTCTCATAGTCTCATAAAGCAAACCAGACCCTGGGCCCCCTGATGAGTTGGAAGAAATTGTTCTGGTTAATCACAGCAATCCTTTCAGATCTGCCTTATAAATATCAGCTTCCCTTGATGCTGACCATCTTTGAAAGGGTTGATAGACTTCCAGAGTTTCCCCCATTCTTCCCCTTCAGAATGCCTGGCCCAAGCTGTCCTGAGCTGTTAGTAAGTTATTGATGGCAGGGTGGGGACAGCCCTCTCCCCAAGCTGTCACACAGCTCCGACCTGCCTTGACAGGTGCTTCCAGTCAGGGGTGGTGTCTCCCCTCGTGCCCTCACCAGGAAAGACTGAAGAAGGCGCGCGGTACTGCCCACCCTGAACTGAACCGAGCTGCCGGGGGCGGGCTTGTTGCACCCAGGCAGGCGAAGACAGAGGGCTGTCGTCCGGGTCACATGCTTCTGGGGATGTGCCCTGTGTTGAAATACTGTAAAGACTCCGTGCTTCACTAGTGTACACACAGCACCTGTTTGGAAGGGGAAAACTATATTTTTATTGTCCGAGATTTTGGCCAGAAAAATCCTGGGTAATTTTTTGAGTTCCCTGTATCTTACGTGATTAACTAATATATATTTTCTCTTTCTAATTACAGAAATCCATAACCACCAGCCTTGTTCAAAACTTTTTAGGTAAGCCACACCCGTCTCTAGCTTTTAGCTTATTAAAAGATTAACTGATTAAAGACTAGTGAATTTATAGCTGATCGTGGCTGGAGAGACACAAGTATAGCTGAGGGCATCCAAATTCATTCATTTATTGAGTAGCGGGTGTGCGTGTGGCACTGTGAGAGGTTAGGAAAAGGGGAGGTACAAACCCTGTATACCTCTTACGAGTCTTGTTCGCAGCGGTTTAGAGTGGAAGCGTCCCACCAGCCTCCCTGGTGAGAGCGCTTCACCCAGAGAGAAGGGCGTTAACCAGGATCACACACGGGGAAAATAATTGAGGGGTGTTTTTAGGAGGAAAAAAAATGTTCAGTATCTCACTTTAAAATGTAACCAAAGAGAACATAAAATTTTCTTTTTGTGTTTAATATACACCTGTTGCATATTATGACCGACTAGAGGACAGAAAGAGAAAAAAGTGGGAGGAGAGACATTCAGAAGGGAGAGAGCAAATGACAGAGAGACCGGGACGGGGGGAGGGGCATGGAATGAGGGTGAAAAAGGCCAGAGTCCCCACACACTGGCTTCTGCTCCCCGAGCTCCCACCCAGGCCCCGGCCTCCTTTCTGAGCTCCAGCCCGTCCACCTGACGGCAGTGCGGCGAGGTCATTACCTCTGTGTTTCTGGACATTCCCCAAGGCCCTGTTCTCCCGTCCCCGCAGGGCTGCTCTCACCACTCAATTCCGCGCCCCGGCAACACTTCCTTCTCTAAGCACCTGCCAGCTCCGAGCCCTGGCTGCCCCGCTGAGCCCTGGCTGCCCCGCTGCGGGTGCCCTGTGGCTCGCCCTGACCGCCCCATCCCCCGCTGGCCCAAACGCCAGCTGCCTGGCCCCAGAACCCCTGGGGCCTGGGTGGTGCTCACCCCCTGCACACGCCCGTACCCTCTCGTTATCCCAGAACCTTTTCTTCTTGCGAGGCTGCTGTCTGTGGACAAGGCCTCGGAGGAGCCCAGGGACCCGTCTATCCTAGATTCACACAGACCTGAGAGAGGAGAAGGAAGCGAGATGAATGACCCGCAGCGCATCTGGGAAGGGTCTCAGGGCAAAGGAAATGATGCAGGCCCTGGTCCCCACAGGGCCTCTGGTCCACAGTCAGACCCTGACCATGCAGAGCGTTGCTTGGTGTTCCTTGCCTTGCCCTTTTGAGAAATTCCTTAAAATACTGTCAGCAAAGCCATACCAGAACAAGAATTTAGCTCAGTTTAATCATAGACTCATAATTCTTAGAGCTCAAAGAAATCTTAGAAATCGTCTGTCTACTCCAAACTCTATTTTGCAGAAAAGGAGGTGGAGGGCAGAGAGGTTAAGACGTGCTCAGGAGCACAGAGAAGCAGAGCTGAGCTGGAGCTGGTGGCTCCGACTCCCAGCTCAGTGTGTTTACTTTATCTTGAACTCCTTCTTACCCTTTAAGGCCTGGGCTTATGGGGGCAGACGGGGGGTGGGGGGTGGCATTCTTACAACCTTGACCAGACCAGCAGTAGAAAAGCCCACACACTGCTCAGCACAGGGCCCTGGCCGGACCGGCGGCTTTAGGGGCGAGTGCATTCAGTTTGAAGCCGGCCAGGCCTGGCCTCAAAATACCAGCTCTTCCAGCTGCTGGCTTTATGATTTGGATGAAGTCACTTCACTTCAATATCTGCATCTACAAAAATCGGAATAAAGCTCGTTGAGTTTTTGGGCCTGGGTGGTGCTCACCCCCTACACACACCCCTACCCTCTGGTTATTCCAGAACTTTTTATTCATGCAAGGTGGCTATCTGTTGACACCACCCAGCATTGAGGCAAGAATGAAGTGAGTAGCAGGAGAAAGCATGCAGCTAAGTTTCTGGTTAAGGATCCAACAGGTGTTCATTTCCCTTCATTGCTCAGGAAATGAGCTGCATTCTTTTTTTTTGGAAAAAAAAAATTAGTACATAGAAACAAGGAAAAGATGTCACATATTTTATGATTAGTTGCTATCAGCATCTCCCACATGTTGGATGTATTCTTTGATGTAAAAGATACCTCATATCAGTAAAGCATTTAGATTGACTCCTCTTTATCTGTTGAAGACAATTCTATCTTTATTACTAAGATAGAATGGGATTAGATAGCTCAGACTCATGCAGCTAAGCATATCCATGTCGCGATATTGTGTGATTTTAATACACTTTTTTCTCTTAAAACACAGTTTTTATGACTATGCAAGCAAAGTTAACGAAGAGAGTTTGGACAGGATCCTTAAAGATCGGAGAAAGGTATGTTATGTTGCTTTTGTTGCCCATTCTGATTTGGAAATCACTCCTTACCTCATCATCCAAAGCTTAAACCCAGAAAGGAATGTCAATGAACATTGCAGCTTGATGTTCTATATGAGAGTTCTGTTACCTTGAGTAAATTTTAAATATGCGTTACAGGTGTGGGACAATATTTACAATATATCAGTAGAAAAAAGTTTAGATATTTATGGTATGATTCCATCATGTAAAGATATGGAAAGAAAAATGAACTATAACCTGAAAATTAACAATAATTGAGTTGAGTCTGGGTGGTTTTGCTTTCTACTTTATAATTTAAAAAATAATTTTGCAAAATTTAATAGCATGTGCATTAATTTTATAATTTTTGTTGTAATAATTATTATAACATGTAATATATAAATTCTAGAAAAACAGATTGGTTATTAAACTATCATTTGAGGAAAAAAGTACCAGAAAGTTTTCAACTTGTCAAACAGAAAACAAAATGCCTTTGCTTAGAAGCACATATTATTATTTTTTTAAAAAAAGAGCTTTTACAACATTCCCTGTGGAGGAGAGGAATCATGGCGGTGCCGGGCTTGGCCTGCCAGGCACCGGGGGGCAGAGGGGAGTGGTGTTTGCTTCCAGCTTAGTCCCCGCACCCCTGTCGGTATGAAGGGAGGAAGAAAAGCAGGCGGGATGAGAGGATGAACGGGAAGTGGGGGCGTAGGCCAGAGGGAAGGACACGTGGCTCTGAGTGATGGCAAGTTCCGGGGGTGCTCAGCCTCAGCAGAGCCTGAGCTAGTCGCCCACCCACCTGGGGAAGGGAGTTAGAGCTGCCACAGGCAGCATGGCCCCTCTGTCCCGTTTTCAGCGACTTGCCCAGGAGCCTCCATTCTAGAGTCTCTTACAGTCTGTCCTTCCTCCCTCAACCACTGCCTTACCTCCTCGTTCATTTATTTTCATACTTTAGATAATGAATCTTTATTACACTTTCTAAAACTAAAATTTGTTCCCTGAAAGTTTTTTTTGGAGCTCAGTTTTGTACTGCATTCACTATATATTAAAAGTTCTAGGAAGAGCCCTGGCCAGGGAGAGAGTCTGGTTAGTTAGCACGTCATCACCATGTGCCAAGGTTGTGGGTTTGATCTCCGGTCAGGGCACATACAAGTGTCAACCAATCAATGCGTAAGTAAGTGGAACAGCAAATCGATGTTTCTCTCCCTCCCAACTCCCCCTCCCTCCCTACCTCCCTTCCCTTATCTCTCTAAAATCAACAAATTATTTTAAAAGATCCAGGAAGTTTTTTTTTAATAACAGATGAAAAACTTACAGTGAGAAAAATCAATAAAGGTTATGAAAAGGAAATTCACAAAAAAGGAAAAAGCACTCCACAATGGCTAGAAATAAATGAAAAGATATTTAACCTCTATCAGGAAACGCAAACTGAAGCAACGTGACACTCTTTTTGTCTATCAGATTGGCACAGCGTGAAAGGGTTGCTAATGCCCAGTGTTGGCAAGGCTGTGGGAAGCGGGGGCGGGGCTGTGGTTGGTGGGAATGGAAGTTGATACAGACATTTAGGAGGAGAGTGTTGCAATAACAGAATTTTAAATATGCAGGGTCACCTCTAGGAATCTGGCCCAAGTAAATAATAGCATCCAGGCACAAAGACATGAAAAACTGGTCTTACTGACCACTTTACCTGTGTGCCAGGCCATGATCCAGGCACTTTCCAGGCAGTGACACGTTTAATCCTTGCAACAGCCCAGTGAGGTGAATCGCTTTTATTCTCATCCACATTTCACAGTTGAGGCAACAAAGGTTAAGTAACTTGCTTATGGTCACCAGTGAGTAGCAGTGGAGCCAAGGCTTAAACCCAGCAGCCTGGCTTCCTGACCCGGTGCGCAAGGAAGCTTGTTGCCTCTTTGGTTAATAGTGAGAATTTTGAAAACAATCTAGATGTCCACCAGTGGGGAACGGTTAAGTTAGGTTGTTACCTTCATATAATGGGTTATGAACAGCCATTAAAAACAATGAGGCAGGTTCTCATGGAATGATACAGTGAGGTCTCTAAGTTAATGTTCAGTGAAAAAGGAAGTAATATAATTTGGGCCTATTTAAAACAAGTCTGAGTGAGTGTTTAAATGTACAGAAAGATCTGGAAGCAAGCCAACCAAACTTAAAAGTAGTTACTTTGGGAGAGGGCTACTGATAAAGGGAGACTTTATTTGATTTTTTTTTTTTAATGTATTTTACAGCCCTGGCTGGTGTGGCTCAGCAGATTTGAGCTCCGGCCTGCAAACCAAAGGGTCTCCAGTTTGATTCTCAGTCAGGGCACATGCCTGGATCGCAGGCCAGGTCCCCAGTTGGGGGTGAGCAAAAGGCAACCACACATTGATGTTTCTCTTCCTCTCTTTCTCCCTCCCTTCTCCTCTCTCTCAAAATAAATAAATAAATGTATTTTATAATTGAAAATAAATTGATACTGCGAGGGATCACCACGTAAATCATATACATGTTTAACCAATAGGCTGTACACCTAAAACAAATATAATATGGAATGTCAACTATAATTGAAAGATTTTTTTAAAAAAGGAAAACGACAAATTTTTAAAAATTACTTTGCTTTATAAAATACTATGGAGTTTTTTTAGTAGTGGATATGGACCCATTTCCAAACTGACTTGGGGATTTTAAAATTGGATTTGCTGTTTTGAGACACAGTAGACCAATCATAGGTTGTTTTGTGGCATTAACTTTGCTTTTTCTAAGGCCAAGATTCTCAAAAAGTTAAATTGACCTGCAATTTTAATTTTGTAGAACTTTGCGCTAAAACAATTTTTTTTCATGGTATATGTTAGGGGCAAAAACTAATTTACATTTCATCGCATTTTCTGTGGTATCTTATACATAATATAAACTCTCTAAGGGTTTTTTCAAAAGTTCAAATTTCTACTATAAAAGCAAAGATGATGCGTAGTATTTAGATGACTAGAGAGCTTTATAGTAGTAATGCTGGTTTACATTTTGAACCCCCAGGAAAGGTAAAATTGTATCTTCACCTTACAAGGGTTATTGTGCTATCTGAAAGGTACGTTTGAAATGTTAGGCTTGAAAATACACATGTACTTCAAACAGTGCCAGACCCAGAGAAAATATTTTAATTACTATCCGCTCTTTAAGAAAATGATGGGAACTTTAAAAAAATTACCTCTGCTAGCAGGCTTCAAATCTAATATTTAATTGAAAAAATGTGAGAATTGAGAAAATATTGAATAACTTAAACTCATATAAAATAAGTACATAGTAATTAAAAAAGTTATCTGAGTCCTAGGATTATCCATTAGAAAACACAAGGTAATAAAGATTTTGTCACAAGTTATGGAGTATATAAAATACATAGAGAAATATGTTTACTAAAAAAGTGTGGCTCTCAAATATAGAAACTGTACCTTGCTAAACATTTTTTTAAAATGCATTAGGCTTAAGATAGAGACTAATGTTTTTGATATTAAAATCCCCCAGAAGGTGCAGAGTGTCCACATTCTGAATTGCTGCTCTGGCAGAATCCACATATGGTTTATCAAGTTGCCAGAAGCCAAAAAAGCAAGTGAGAGGAAGATGTATGCCTTCCAGAAACGCCTGCTCTGAAATAGATAATGATAAACATAACTTCTGTCTTAATAGCATCCTAAGGCCAAAAAGAACACAACCTAAAGGTGACTAGAGTGCAGCATTGGGGATGATTGCTCTGGCTCCAGAAAAATGTAAGCAAAAGTCTAGCGTAGAGAGTAGGGAGGAGCACCTTTGTGAAAAATTGTGAAACTTTAGCAGAGTTAAGGTTTTAGGGAAAGATATCCATAATTTTTCATCATGGAAGAGGTAGATTCAGATATCACCAATTTGACTTAAATTGGCATTTTAGCTTTCACTGATCAGAATGAAGGGGGCATCTTTTTTAGCAGATAAATGAATAAGTTCATTACTGTCAGTTGGTATCCAAAATAAATGTATAAGTCTCCCACTTCTCAAAAAATATAAATGGAATAAAACAATTGGAATCAGCATAAGTGAAATGCATACTCATCCAGTAGCCACTTGCAGGAGTCTTTACCCAGCGAGGACTTCACGAGAACAGTCAATGTGCCCAGCTCTCGGGTCTTCGCTGGGATGCGGGGAGCGTGAGACACACTCGGCCATACCCACCGTTAGGTGCCAGCTCCACCATTAAATACAGAGCACTGAGACTTAGAGTCTAGTATGTCATGTTCTTAGACATCAGTAGCTGTAGCCAGGTGATAGTTTTTCTTATCCACTTTTTTTTTAAGGAAAACTTCTTTTCACTTTTTTATGACCACCACTATGTGACTAATGTGGAATTTCAAAGTTAATGTTGGGCAGTAGAAGAAGACATGTTCCAGATCTTGGCTATCACGTCATAGCTCTGTAACTTTGGACAAAACATCTCTTTTATAAGGTATACAAGGTCTGTCCAGAAGGTATTCAGGCATGTACTATGAAAAAATAGGCATTTATTGAAGAAGATACAAGATATAAGCAACGTTGTACATAGGAAAATGACACCTCAGTCTCCTTCAAAGCAGGCTCCTTGGGACATCAGTTCTCCCAATCCCCATCAGCTGCCCTGCAATATTTTCCTGAATCTCATCGATGGTCTGAAATCTCTTCCCTTTCAAAGGTGATTTTAGTTTTGGGAAAAGCCAGAAGTCACAGGGCGCAAGATCTGAGCTGTAGGGGGGCTGAGTCATCTGGGTAATTTGATGTTTTCACCAAAATACTCTACACAAGACGTGATGCGTGACGGGCGTGTTGTCCTGATTTAGCTGCCAATCACCAGTTGCCCAGAGCTGTGGCTTCTGAATCATCCAAATAGTTTCCACGGAGGAATATTTAAGCTTAATGCAAAATTTGATGCAGATTCATTGCTCTACTCACTCAGTCATTTTGAATGTGACGGCCACACAGTACACATGCTCACTCAACGGCATCTACCGCCCCCACTGACTAGTACAGTGAAGTCGTCATTGTTCATGCATGCACATTTCAGTTCACTCTCCTTGGCTGCCAGGTTACATTGATGTCGCACAAACCATTCTAGTTGTATTAACAATGGCTGGACTTTTTCCAGGCAGTCCTCATACGCTGTCAGAAATGTTTGGGTTTTCATTTTATTTAAAGACTATCAGAATTAATTAAAGTTGTACTTTATGCTCATTAGTACTACTTGAGGGCAGGTAGTATTTATTCCCTGTAGTACCTTGTAGTGATGTTAATTCAGTGGAGAAAACATTACTCACCTCCCAGGTTATGATAATTAATGAAAATATTTGTAACATCGTTAGCTGGGGCCCTGGCACAGGAACTCAGCAAAGGTTGGTTTATATCCTTCTTACATGAAAGTGCCAAAATGCAATCTAAATTTACTGTTGATTTTTATATAACACAATTTTAAGCTACTTTTACACCTTAGCACATGTTTTTTTTCACTCAAGGAGTTTATTTCAAAGAAGGAAGCTATGTGAAGATTATTCTTCTAATAAATAATTGATTGACTCTACAGCAGAGGTTTTCAAACTTTAGTATGCACAAGAAAAAACTCAAGGAACTTATCCTAAGTTCAGGTCCCTGGCTCTACCCATAAAGGTTCTGATTCTGCCAGTTTGGGTGGCACCCAGGAACATTTGAGCAAACTCCCAGATGTCTTGTAGGTCATCTGTCATCTAGATGTTCAGCTGGTCACATTAGGGAACTAGTCTTCCTGATAACATATCAGTTTAATCCTCTTAACCAGCTTAGTTAACCTATAGTTTGTCATTGCATTGAGGTGTAACTGTCATAAAATAAACTGCACATACTTAGAGTACACACTTTGATAAGGGTTGATATGTGCCTACACCCATGAAACCACCGTCCTCGTAAGCTAATGACCATGTCTACCACTGCGAAGCTTCCTTGGGCCCTTTTCTAATCCCTCCTTCTCGCACCCCAGCCCCGTCCCAGTCCGCCGCTGATCTACTGGATCTGCTCCATGTTGCTATAGATTAGTTTTCATTTTCTAGAATTTTAAATGAATAGAACCTTGTGGCATAATTTTTTTCTGGGTCTGGCTTCTTTCACTGAGCATAATTGTTCTGGAATTCATCTGTTTGTATATGTCAGTAGTTTGTGTTTATTGCTGAGAAGGTGTCCAGTGTGTGGCCATACCAGTCCGTTTACCCTATTGCTGGGCAATTGCGTTGTTTTCTGGTTTGAGGAATTGCACACAGAGCTATTGCCATTTGTGTACAGGTGTTTATATGAATACATTCAGAACTAAATTTGTAAGATTTCATGCAACTCTTAATACTTCTCTTCTGTTTCTGTTGCAGAAAGTTATCGGGTGGTACAGATTCCGGCGAAACACACAGCAGCAAATGTCGTACAGAGAGCAGGTCCTCCACAAGCAGCTCACCCGCATCCTCGGGGTACCCGACCTCGTCTTCCTTCTCTTCAGCTTCATCTCCACCGCCAACAATTCCACTCATGCTTTAGAATATGTTCTCTTTAGACCAAATCGAAGGTAAAGAAAGCATTCCCACGTAAGCAGGCCTCATGCAAATAGGAAATTCTCTTTTTAGCTAGTCTTCTTTGTAGTTAGAGAAGGTATTTTCCTGTCAGTTAGTTATATAAATTAAAATTGTTTTTGAATGAAGAAGCATTAGCAAGACATGTTAATTACGCGTGAATTCTTATAGGAATAAACAGTTGGAAATCATCACCTGCTTCTCCATAATCTTCTATTGCTCTGGAAGTCTGATGGTAATTTTAAAGACAGAATTGTAAAATTGATCCACCTACTGGTTAAGGAGGGTTTTGCATTGTGAACTTGTTTAAAAAAAGATCCTGTGATCATGGTGTCTGTTATAAACAACAGAAAGGTTTCTGTCTGGAAATTCACTTGTAGTAGAATAAATTAAATTGAAATCAGTGAAAATAATTATTGTTAAATAGCCATTTGCAAGATTACATTAATATATTAATATATTAATTAGCAACTAATATATTAGTATCTTGAGCACATGCAGCCACCTCAGCACACTGTCAGTCACTGTGGGGACACACAAGATGTGTAAGAACAACCCTTGCTCTCAAGGAGTTTACAGTCGAGTTTCTACTTTAAGGGAAGGACAAAAATTACTAATTCGCACCTCCTCGGGTTGTCTGAAAGCAGGTGCTTGGTGAGACCTTCTTGCCGTTCCCCAGCACAAAGACTGGGACCCCGTTGCCATGACCCATTCTTGAGTCAGAGCCGAGCTGTTAGCGGGACTCCCCCCTTCCAATCTGCCCGCAGGTATAATCAGAGGATATCCCTGGCCATTCCCAACCTGGGCAACACCAGCCAGCAGGAGTATAAAGTGTCTTCAGTGCCAAATACTTCTCAGAGTTACGCCAAAGTTATCAAAGAGCATGGGTAAGTGGTAAGACAGAATGCAAGTCCTTTCTTTTCTTTTGCTAAGACTTAAAAGGTTTATGTAGATAAAAAAGGTTTATGGAGAAATGTGAAATCAAGTTTGATATGATTAAAATTGAAAAATGCACTGCGGTAATCCTCTACCATCACCACGACGTATCAAAATGTTATTCTTATTGAAAAGATAGTTTGCTTTTGTCATTACTTTTTTTAATCATTTGTCACAATATTTTTTTTTTGTAATTGATACAAAAGTGACTAGAATATGTATAATTCTGAGATCCTGAAAGCTAACTGTGGTCCCTAAAAAATGGATTGCTTTTTATTATTTTTTAAATTGCCTTAGTCACATGGGTTATTTTGTATTTCTCTTTTATAATTCTGGTAGGGTGGATGTTATTGCTGATACGCTGTCACCTTGTAGGCACAGCATTTAGGTGCTAGGTAAAGGCAGAAGTGGTAGGAAAGTACCTTCCAGATTCGGAGCAGCTGCAGTCCCCTTTGTGACATCTTTTTTCTGTCTTCCAGTACTGACTTCTTTGACAAGGATGGAGTAATGAAAGACATCAGGGCGATTTATCAGGTTTATAATGCACTTCAGGAGAAAGTGCAGGTAACTGACTTATTTCCTAGTTTTTATCTTATTTGTATTGCCCCCATGCTTTTAATCCTACTTCAATTTTTAATCATCTCCCAACGGACCAGTGAATCATGGCCCGCAAGTGAGAATGTGCTTTCTCAAGGCAGCATCAGAGGCAGCCAGCGGGCGCCGTGCCAGCCTGCGGAAGCCTGTCTCCCCTTGCGGGCCCGTACTAGACCCTCGGAGTTCAGCAGCAGTATTACTATTTTCAATGCTGTGACCCAGTTATAAGAGTGTTTTTTCTAGGAGAATGTACCCGATTTTAAAGCGGGGTTGCTAAGAACTGGGCTATGTTGCCAGTTGTGCACTGAGTGGAGGCTGACCCCGGCAGGGACAGCCCCGCCTACCCCTCCCACTCACTCACTCTGCCCCGCACCTCGCCGAGTGGGAGGGTTACAGCGGAGCCTGTTCATTCCGAGTCACTTGTGCAGCAGACGCTTGTAGAAGCAACTCCTGTGCGCCGATACCGAGCTAGGTGCTGGCAGGGCTTCCCGCATTCTTTCCATCCCTTTTGCATCTAGCAGTGATTGTCTCTCAAACCTAAAGAACAAAAGAGGCGTGGAGGACACAGAGGGAGGTGGTGGCACCAGGGAAACTCCCTGAGGCCTGGAAAAGGCCTCGCTTTGGGGGAGAAGGCCCAGGACGAGAGTGAGGAGTGGAGGCAGCCACTGAGAGGAAGGAGGCAGATGAGTGCAGCCTGGGCAAGAGAAGGAAGTGTCCAGCCGGCAGTTCCCAGAGTCCGCGTTCCAACTCAGGGTCATGGACACCTGGCAGCGAAGGGAGCGTTGTACTGGCTCGCCGGTGCCCGGCCTGCTTCCTGGCGGTGGCTGGTGCTCTGGCCAGGGAAGGAATGAGCCGTGGAAAGCAGCCTTTTGTCCTACATTCATGACTATGCTGTCTCTAGACTCAGCGCTGTCCAGCGGACTTCAGGGCTGCTGTTGTATAGCTCATTGCTGTTGCAGAAGGCCTGCCCTGGAAACGCCAGTCGCACATAGAGCGCCCTGGAGTGAACAATTAAATCACAGAGGCATAATCTCAAATAGTTCTCTTTCATTAACTCTTTTTTAAAAATATTTTTATTGATTGATTTTAGAGTGAGAGAGGAAAGAGGAAACATCGAATTGTTTTTCTTAGTTATGCATTCATTGGTTGATTCTTTTTTTTTTTAAGACTATTTATTTACTTTTTTAGAGAGGGGAAGGGAGGGAGAAAAAGAGGTAGAGAAACATCAGTATGCGAGAGATACACAGTTGCCTCCTGCACACCCCCAACGAGGCATGTGCCAACTGGGAATCAAACCGGTGACCTTTCGGTTTTCAGGCTGGTGCTCAATCCACTGAGCCACCCCAGCCAGGGCCATTGGTTGATTCTTGTATGTGCCCTGGCTGGGGCTTGAACCCGCAACCGTGATGTACTGGGAATGATGCTCTAATCAATTGATCTACCCAGCAAGGGCGTTTCATTAAATCTTGACTGGGGAACTTACTTTTTCAGCTCTCCCTAATTAAAAATATTTTCTGTTAAATCTTCTTTTTTAATGTCATCTGATTGGTGATTGTTGATTATAAATAAAAGTTGAAAGCATCTAATTCCTGTCTTTTTTGTGTTCTTTGTATGCTACACTGGTATCAAAAGTTTGCTTCCTATTTCAATAAAAATGAATAATTCAGGAAAATATATGCATCTTTCCCACTTACCCTTATTTTTCAAGAACAGATAAGCTAAACCACATACTCATCGTAACAAAATTAAGAAAACGAGCCTGTGGGTAAGAAGAGCACTGGTCTCTCGGACCCCAGGGGTGGTTCTCCCGGCGGTCTGTTTTCCAGGGGTGAAGCACCGGCCCCTGGTTCGTAGTGAGTGCCGTATTTACAGAACGCCTGCGCCGGGGTTTCAACTAATTGTCCTTGTTGTCGTTTTCCCCTCAGGCAGTGTGTGCAGATGTAGAAAAGAGCGAGCGGGTAGTTGAATCTTACCAAGCAGAAGTGAACAAATTAAGAAGACAAATAACTCAGAGGAAAAATGAAAAGGAGCAAGAAAGAAGTGAGTTTCCTATTAATTTTACCATTCCTTATGAGGGAAGTGTCTGGTTTTAAACATCGAATTATAGAATAAATTACATGAATCCTTCTACACCCGTAAAGCCCCAAGTTGGGCTGTTTGGGAGCAGGCGTCCACTTTTCCTCATGCTTTTTCAGAAGACAAGTGATGTTTTTCATGGTGCCCTTCTTGAGTCTGTCCCGCTAGAAGGAAAAGCAGACCCAAGGTGGAAAGGGGGAGTGTTCGTCACCGCGTAGCCCCGGCCCGCCCGGCAGGGACTGCGGCCTGCGCTCACTGCAGCCACTAAGGGCACCACTGAAAACTCTTTTAACTTTATATTCGGTTCATAGGCAGGGTCACAGCAAAGGCTTTGAATGTCTGTCTGTTGGTAACTATGGACGGGGGGTGCCATGAAGCTGAAGAACCAGCTGGCTGAATGGGAATTAGGCCCAAGAATCTATTAATTTCAGCATGGTAACAGACATGTTTGCTGTAATACCACCAGATACAACACTTGTAGGTAAAATTTATAAAATGTATGGCAAATAATATCAAGTGTGAGAGAGAGAAAGGTGTAGCTTGCCATTTGTAATTTAATAAGAGTGTTTGCAAACCGCACTCGCCCGTGTAGCCCTGTTGGTTGGGCATCGTCCACAAAGGGAAAGGCCACTGGTTTGAGTCCCAGTGAGGGCGCATGTCTAGGTTGCAGGTTCGACCCAAACGGAGGACGTAAGAGAGGCGGCCAGTTGATGTTTCTCTTTCACATCAGTGCTTCTCTCCCTCTCTTCCTCTCTCCCTTCCCCTCTCTCTACAAATAAATGAAATCTGTAAAAAAAAATATATTTGCTAACCAATTAAAATGTAATTTATGCTTCTAAGTAAATGATAACTGGTTCATTTCTACTGATACAGTTTTCTAGAAATAATCAGAAATGTAGACAGGGATTTATGCACAAGAATGTTAATCCCAACTTCCTAATTCTAAAATCTTGGAAACAATCTATTAAAATACCTGAGTAAACAACAGTAGTATTATAGTTGAATAAATTTTGGTCTCTCTATATAGTGGAATATTGTACAGCCAGTGAAGTGAGTTTTTAAGTACAATATATAATCTTAAGCAAAAACATTAGGATAGAAAATAGTATAAACATGATCTTTGCTATGTTTAAAATATATATATATATGCAACACATACAGGCTGGATGATAAAAGTGGAGCTCAGGAAATAAGTGGGGGGCCTTAAACCTAAAGTTTACATTTTTAACCTCAAATCTTGTGATCTTTTTACCAAAATTCTAAGTGTTATCTGGGTGATAGAACTGTAGCCAATTTTTCTTTGTTCTTTTCTAAATTTTGTAAAAGTGTGTATCATTTTTATAATATTAAAAATGTACTTTTGCCCTGACTGGCATGGCTCAGTTGGTTGAGTGTCATCCCACAAAGTGAAAGGTCAGTGGTTCGAATCCCGATGATGGCACATGGGTTGCGGTTTCTGTCTGCAGTTGGGGTACATGCGGCGAGGCAACCGATGGATGTTTCTTCCCTTTCTTCCTCTCCTTCCCTCTCTCTCAAAAAATAAATATATAAAATCTTTTTAGAAGTACACTTTAAAAAACTTAAAGGTTGTAGACTCAGATATGGGGCTTTCAGAGCATTCACAAAATTGGCGAAATTATGGCCTAGTACCTGGAAAAACTGGCCACCTAACAGAGGGCTCTTTAGCTTTTAAGGAGAAAGAGGTATATGTGTGTATAGTGACAGGTAGCTGTAAAGAAGTGTTTTGTTTTCTTTTTTTTAAGATTTTATTTTTTAATTTTTTTAGAGAGGGGAAGAGAGGGAGAGAGAGAGGGCGCCTCATCAGTGTGTGAGAGCTACGAGGATTGGTTGCCTCCCATGTGCCCCCTACGAGGAACCTGGCCTGCAACCTGGGCATGTGCCCTGGCTGGGAATCAAACCAGTGACCCTTTGGTTTGCAGGCAGGCATTCAGTCCTCTGAGACACACCGGCCAGGGCTAAGAAGTGTTTTTTGATATAAGGTTTGTCAAGGAAAACATTCAGAGGGCTGCCGAGGGTGATAAGGACTGTTTTCTTCACCCTCTGTCCTCCCAGTCTTGGCACACTCAGCAGCAGGTGAGGGCAGTAGGGGCTGCGCTTGAAAAACCTGCTCTTGGAGCATCAGGCCCATGTCTAGCTGTTCCCTTCGTGAAGTCACTTAACCTTTTCGCACTCCAGTTGTTTGCCTATGTAATCGAAACAATAATATCAATAATGATGACATTGTCAATGTTTCGAAGCTTAAATGAATTAATGTATAGCGAAATATTTTGTAAATTATGAAGCATTGTGCCAATGTAAAACAACAGTAATAATCAGTGTCACTGCTTTGTTGCTGTTTTTCCAGGACATTCAGGTTGGCTGTTTAATGCACTGGGGTGCACAGCTGGGAAGCTATAGGCTGTGTTACAGTTTTCTTCCTCTTTTCACCCAGGACTGCAGCAGGCGATGATCAACAGACAGGCGCCTTCTGAAAGCCTGGAGCCGGCGTTCAGCCCTCGGACACCCTATGCGGGGTTTGCAACTGAAGGTAGAAGCACACTGGCAGATGCAGAGGCCTCAGATCCCCCGCCCCCTTACTCCGATTTTCACCCCAACAATCAAGAAAGTACTTTGAGCCCTTCGCGCATGGAGACAAGTGTCTTTATGCCACGACCTCAAGCCGTGGGCTCTTCCAGTTACGCTCCCAGCAGCGCCGGACTGAAGTATGCGGGAGCGGGAGCAGACCTTGCTCCTTCCCAAGGAGCAGCTGGCGACAGTGTGGAGGAATCAGACGACAGTGATTATGAAAATTTGATTGATCCCACAGAGCCCCCTCATAGCGACTACTCACACGCGAGGGATTCCCGACCTCTGACACATCCCGACGGGGGCTCCAGGAACACTCAGACCTCCCAGATTTAACGGAGCGGAAGGAACTCTTCACCTAGCACTGTTTTCTTAATCGCTTGTTGAGAGAGTTTTTTGAGGACTGAATCTGGAGGGAGAACTGCTTTCTCAGACCCCTGGGCTCCCAGAGAGTCCTGGGCACAGAACCGGGAGGGGCCTCGCCTCCAAAGGGCCTCACCTGCAGACACCGTGTCAGGTGTCGCAACAGCGTCATTCAGATAATCAAATTGTCCTAATTCTGGTGCGATTCATGGATGTACTGGTAAATTTAGGCAAAGAGAAACTTATCAGCGTAGTTTCTGTTCTTTAAAAATAAATTGGTAATTAGAGACTAAGCACAATTAGTCTATAAATGTTCTATAAATCAAAAACTTACCTCTTGCACTATCATGCCTTGAAATTTACTTTTTCAAAGGGAAATGAGTTTAGCAGCAGCCTTCAAAGACCCTTCTTTCTATGATGAGTCAAATTCATCTTTGCCAGAAACAAAATTTTGATAATTCTAAGGAGCCTGATTGGAACAAACCGGACGTAGCTTCTCTTGTCTGCATGACTTCGTGAGATCGAAAGAGAAGGCTTTGTTTTAACTTTTTTCTACTAGCCTGATATGTATTGTCACTTAAAATGGTTGCCTTTAAAAAACATGTAGAAATACTAATTACCAGTAAGTAATCATCCAAATAAGTATGTCATAAAATAAATTACTTATTTTTCTTTCGTGGAATTACAGTGACTGCTATGTTGCACTAGCCATGTTCCCAGTCTCTGTTCTGGAGTCTTAAACGAAGGGCACGCAGCAGTGGGTCCCAGAAAGGGGTTGTATTCCTGACCTAAGGTTTATGAGGGACAGACTCCAGATGCAGTGGATTTAGCCGAGTTCATACTTAAGGGATATAACTCATTTAGACCTTCTGACAAATCCTAGTATTAGTTTTATTTGTGGAGGAAAGACATTCAGTAAGCTGAGAATCTTGGTGAATTAAGATTCATTTTAAATCTGAATAACCATACTTTTATTTTTAAGCTGCCATTTGGAGGATAGTTGTGGAATGTGTTGAGACTTCCTGTTGGGATGCACTTATATTTTTATTTAATTAGTGCTTGTTTTCTAGTTTTGCCCAGAATGTGTGAAACCACTACAGACATTCATGAGCATTTTAGGCTCCTGGTTTGGGAATGACAAGACCCACCATTTATGATGAGGTCAGCCCACGAAGGTAATGCTTTGGAACATAACTGCCTTTCCTTTAGACTAGTTAAAACCTGGAAATATAAGGAAGCTGTCAAAGAGGCTTACCATCCAGGTTCTGAAAGAGAAGTTTCATTTTATAGGAGAGAAGTTTACCCACTGAGCCAGTCCCAATGCTAAATTAGACAACCCGGACTGAAAAATGAAACACTGAAACTGCCATTCTTTTGATGCCCACTCCGCGGGGTCTGTGCTTTCCTAGTGCCGGTTCTGTTGGCCTTAAACCACTGCCACTTGATTTGAAATGTCACAGACCTCTCTATCTGCAAATGTGTTCTGGTTTCATCAGCACCTACTAGGGCTTCCACACCAGTGTGAATTAAAATTTTTTTTTAAGTGCCATTGCCATTTCCCCTGTCCCTGTTTTGACATTCAGGAATCTATTTTTATTTTATGCCATACTGAAGTCTACAATGTATATCTGACAAAGCAGTTAAATGTGACAATAAAAACTTATTTAATCATGGTACCATTGTTTTAATGTCTGTTTCAGCACCCGACAAGGCCTTGCCTCAGTTTACTCATTCTGGCAGTTCTTAGTAAACTTAAAACAGTTTTTTAAAGGGCATAAAAACTCATCTCCACATAGGTTTGGTTTTTTTGGTGGTGGTGGTTGGGTTTTGTTGTTGTTGTTTTCTTTCTTTTGGTAAGACTGGTTTCAAGGGAAATCCAAGAACACAACTTACTAAAATGTTTCTGTTGATTTCAAGGAGAATATGTTGAGTATCAAGTTACCAAGAGAACTGGGTATCAGTAGAGAATAAAACTGAATCTTAGGAAGTTCCAAAAAGGCACCTTTCACATCAGAACTGATCTTGTTTGAAGAGACTTCTCAGCCGGGATTGCCTGTGTGGTAGGAAGTGGCGCCCTGCGAACGAGCGGCTCAGGAATCACGCAGGCGCCTGGGGAGGGTCTGCGGCCCCTGTTCCAGCTGAGTGATACGTCTCTTCCAAGTCCGAGGTGATAGTCTGTTTTCAGCAGGATTTTAAAATGTGGATTGTAGCCTTTTCAGATTCTACTCTAGGTCTCTTACTGGAGGAGAGAAGACTGGATTCTTTTACCTTAGAAGTCTGGAAATGTGTGATTACATGCTGTCATTGGCTTTTTTGGAGAAGGATCAAAACATTAAAAAACAGAAATCTCAACCCGAAACACTCAGGCCCCAGGGATGTATATTTTAAAATTCCAGACACAGAGTGTGTGGGGTGGGGGGGGTAAGGGGGCAGACAGTGACAATAACGGCTTTAATAAAGAGATTGAAATTGACTGCCTCGTGAATCCTTATTTTAAGGAGGTAAAGTCTCAGGGGATGTACAATAAAAATACAATAGAAATAATTGTTACTCGCTGTGTTCCGGGTCTGGTTCGCCTTGACTATAGGTTTCGTTTGTCATGCAAAGATCTTCACTCTTTTACAAGGTTCTGCTTCGTCCTTTTCCCCACACCTTGATTCTGGGGGGTGGGAGTGCTGGAGGCTACAGGTCCTGCAAGTGTGGTGCTCACGAATCATGGGGGACATTTCCTTTCCAACCTGATGACAGGCAGACCGGGGCACAGTTCTGGGGTTCCGCACAACTCCCTTGTCACGGTGATGTTTGTGATTCCTAAACCAGGCAGGAGAGTGAGGACGGCACATTCCGATCGGCGGCTCTGATCCCCGGAGGCCGGACACGGGGCAGCTTCTGATGGCGGGGGGGGGGGGGGGGGGGGGGGAGAGGGGGGAGCCTTGACACATCCACAGGGAGGTGTCCTCTTGAGTGCCATGCGCTGCCCGTGCTCCAGAATGCGGTGCTGGGAAGTGGCCTTCTGTTTGTTCAGGCTTGGCAAGAGGAAGTTTATGACAGTGTTGTTCTCATAGCAAATCCCTGGGAAGGCGTGCCAATGACAGCAGAACCGTTCAACGTGGCTATGTCCCCAGAAGCAGTCGTCTGCAGCCACTGAAAATACTGAGTCCAAGAGATTTCTCATCGTGCGGTGACGGCTTCTAGATACCAAATGAGGAAAACCAGGTTTCCAAATAGTACGTAAGGTATAATCTGATCTTTGTTGGGGAAAAATTTTACATAATTTTCGCTTCTGATAAAAAAAACACTCCGGAAGGACATTCACCAAAGTGTTAACTGTGTTGTCCCTGGGTCCTGGCAATGTGGGTGACGTTATTGTCATCCTTCATTTATTTGCACTTTATCATTTTTGCACAATGTGTTTGTATAATGGAAGACTTCAGAACTGGCGGGTCACTGGCTATGTGAATTATTTCACGCACACCTCCCTAGAGGAGGGTCTGGAACACTTCATTCTCTGGGCCTCTTCCCCACAACACTTTAGTTATTTAGATTTGTAGCCCACGTAAGACCAGCTTTGTTGATGCTGCTAATTTCACTGCCTTAAGTTTTATCTAATTTTCAAATGAAATTATGTACTTAATATTTGTTTTCCATTGACACTGATTTTTTTTTTCCCCCTAAAGACAAGTTTTCTTAGCTTGGAAGCCCATTTCCTAGTTTCCCAAGAAGCACTTAAGACATGTCTTCTGAGACTGAAAGTCATTCCAAACTAGAGCAATTACTTATGATAATTCTCTCAGGTGAAAGTGCTTACTACAAAATGGGTTTTTGGAGTCTTAAACTATAAGAATGATTTCCTTGCAGATAGCTCTGCAAGGATTGTGTGTCCTGCTTGCTGATATCCTTTAGGATGGTGGCCTTCCTGCTTGAGGAACTTTGGGTTGTGTTAAGTACTAGGTGGTGTAGACCACTGAAAGTCCAATCCACATGCAAGTCTGGGAGGTATTTGATTTCAAAGCACATACCTACTTGCTTGGAACGTTTGCTGAGGCCAGCCAGTTGTGGGCACTGCTTGGTAGAGCTGGGAACCATTAGTCATTAATCTTGACTGATTAGAAACAGATGTGATTTAGCTATAGCAGAATGTGGCTCATCCAGAAGACCTTTTTTGGAGTGTTTCGGGTTACAGAAGTGAGGGGGGAATTTGGGGACCTAAGTAAGCACTCTCTAGGAATAGTAAGGCCAGGGTAGATCCCTGGCACGTGTGAGATGGAAGAGAGATTTTATGCAACTCAAATAGTTAACAAGTTCTCCATCTACTCAGTCTGTTGCAATCCTACTCATTGTTTAAAGTCCAGTTTAAATATCACCTTTAGGAAACCTTTCTGACTCATCTGGGAGGATAGTGCAGCCTGAGTCCCTAGCTCAAAGCTCTGGCACGTTGCGCATGCTTGCCTGACTAAGCACCCAGCATGTTATATAGAATTATAGTTAATATGTCTGACTCCTCAGCAGAATGTGGCGTCCTCAAGGGCCGGCAAAGGAGCGAGGCATCTCAGACTCCCCGGCACCTGCACGGCTTGGCAGAGTGCAGGTATCGGCACGCACTTGCTGCTTGAACAGTGGATGAAAGGGCCCAAGTAAAACTGCCCTGTAGGTATACTTGTTCGTGAGGAATCGGGCGATGAAGACCACGATTCTCGTCTGGAGGGGTTATTAGGAAGAAGTTTGATATCTTTGAACTGCCCTTGTACTGAAAACCTTGATGAACGATTTCTTACCTAGGCCTGCAGAAGCTGTGCGCAAGGACCAGTGTAAACTCAGGGCGGTGCGGAGGCAAGGCCAACGGGGGAGAGTCAGGTCTCTGTTCAGGACCAGATCCACCCTGCGTTAGCCGTGTGGTCTGGAAGTCTCCGAGTCTCTCAGGACCTCCATTTTCTTAGCTGTAAAATGGGCTTCAGAGTGATTCTCTGTGTCCTATAGGACGACTGAGGGAATTGCTGAGAAACGTGAAAATACCTCTGTAAACCGTAAAGCACTGCAGAAGCAATTACCTGACATCTTGGCCAGACTTAATTTTAATGTCTTCCTAGGTCAAGTGCCCTGAGAGGTCAGGGCCGTCACTGGGGGAGAGTTCCACGCCGTCTGCTGGCGGAGCCTGGAAGAGCCCGGAGGGGCCTGGAAGCCGTCCCGTGAGTATTGCCTCTCTCCTGAGCTGGGTTCTCCTCCTGCGCCAGAAGGGGCCCTGCCGGCCGAGTCTGAACCCCAAGCCTGGGGAGGCCCGCAGGACTGCCCCTGCGGCAGGGTTGGAAACGGGCCTGGAGGAAATGGACCGTCGCTCCACAAAGCCTGCCTTCTACAAATAGCTGTTGTAAACTTCATCCTTCAGCCTGGCCAGTCTGGAGAATTACTTGTGACTTTTACTTGGGCAAACAAGTGTGAGTGAACCTTGGAACGTTAAGATGGGCAAAAGGCCTTTTACCCTTTAAAGAAGTTGTGAGAACATTCTGATGTTCTACAAAGTTGGTGGCATTGGCATTTGCTTGGTAGGCTGTGAGAGCAGGAAAATACTTTGGCGATGACCACGGTTACAGTAATCTATGGTATTTGGGTTTGAACTGGCTACTGACACGCACTCAGGATTTGGCTGTGTCTGACTTCCCCATCTCCAAATCCTGCATTCATTCTTTTGAGCATGATTCACTGTTACATTCTTTCAAAACGTACTCCCAGCATCTCCATTCACCTGCTTGCTCCTCAGTACTTCCTGGATAGATCTAAAAAATAGGACATATTCTTACACAATCACAACACCGCTATTATCCCTGATAAATTTATAATTTCATAGTATGACCTGCTACGTTGTCCATGCTCCGTTGTCCTTGGTTTTAAAAATCTCTGTTTACCGTGGGAAAATCTCACTGTTGTCCCCTCACCAACCGGTCAGTCTTAGCATCATAAACAGGGACACCGGACGACATCATGGGTCTCCTGATGTGACATGATTATGAGGGTACTTCACCTGCAAAGTAGCCTCACTGACTTTCTAACCTGAATCAAATCAAGACTATAGGCCCAATTTCCAGTTTGCAAGAAATATGCGGGGACAAGTTAAACTATATTGTGAGGAAACAATCAGACGTGTCCAGAACATGAGGCATTCTATGAGAGAGCTGGCCTAATTCCTTCAAAATTTCCAATGTCAGGGGAATAAAAGCAGCCAGGAGGTAGAGGGACCATTGCGACTAAAAGAGATTATACAAAACACAACAGCCTTGATTGGCTTTGACTTTGGGAAACCTATACATTTGGAAAAATTTGAATACGGACTAGGTTGCATGATATTAGGAAACTACTGAGTTTTCTTAAGCACAGAAATGATGGTATGGTTACATGAGAGAATCTCCCAAAGTTTAGTAAATACAGGCTGTGTATAAACCATAACATAGTTATTGATTATCAAGTTATTATGGACTGTACATGATTGTATGTACCATACTTTTTAATATGCTTTCTCACCCAAGCATATTTTTTATTATTGATTTTAGAGAGAGAGGAAGGGAGAGAGAGCGAAACATCAATGTGAGAGAGAAACATCGACTGGTTGCTTCCTGTATGTGCCCCGACCAGGGATCAAACCCACAAGCCAGGTACGTTCCTTGACTGGGGATCAAACATGCAACCCTTTGGTGTATGGGACCAATGCTCCAAACAACCGAGCCACCCAGCCAGGGCTGTGCCATCCTTTTATATGACTGACAACGGGTTTGTTTACACCAGCCTCACCACAAACACAGGAGTGATCTGTCACGCTACAACGTTGTGATGCCATGGTG